TGTTTCGTTTATGAGGCTGTTTTTACACAAACAGCAGAGCCCCATGAACAGACCTTACCCTGCCTCTCTTTTATGAACAGCCTGGGCATAATTAGGGCATATAAAATCCACTATGTTCATATGCCACAGGCATCACCTTTCAGCCCATGCTGCTGTTGAATAAAGCAGGTCAAGGCATTCAGAAGCTGAGAAATGTCCCTCTGGTCCCAGATGTCCATCCAGCCCCAGACTGGTCCAGCAGGTGCAACAGGACAGACTGTCCTGGGGCCCCAGCTTCTTTTACAGCCCCTCCCTCCAGCACCTCCACTTTCTCATCCTTTTGTTAGGGGGTACATCTCTTAAGGAATTTGCCTTATCTCCTTTTGAATCTACAGACACATCATCCACAGCATCCTGTGACAGCAAGTTCCCCAACTGTGCCTGTAGTTTTTTGGGTTTTTTTTGTCTGCTTTACACTGACCTTCTCTAGCGTTGTGTGCCCTCAGATTCTGGTGGGTGCTTGGCTGCCTCTCTGAGTCAGAGGCTTTGGAAACCCATCAATGATGGCTCTGACCTCAGTGAGTCTGCAGGGTGTGCTGGGAATGCAGCTGGGTACCACACCTGCACCACTGGGATGTGCTGCTCCTGTGGGTCCCCGGGATCAGCACCTGGTCCCAGTGACTTTAACAACCACTTTTTCTGTTTGACCTCATCCCTCCTCTTACCTCAGTGAAAGTGACTTCACTTGCTTTGCCTTTGCTCCTGTTGCCTCTTTACTCTGTGGCCCTTCTCCTTCCAATTGCTCCAGCTCTTCCAGCTGATCCCACTGCGGACTGGCAGACATGGGGAACTCCTGAAAAGCTTCAGCTCTGAAAGCAGACACAAAGTTCTCACTGACTCTCTGCTACATCATCACCCCCCATCTGCTCCTTCTCTACCCTTGTAGTCAGCATTCCCACTGATTTCCTAGCTGCCTTTGTGACTTTGGTATATTTAAAGAGCCTTTATCAGCAGCTAGAGCATCCTTGGCAAAGCAATTTACAGATCTTATTTTTAGCCCTGTTTCTTTCCTGTTTAATTGTGACCTGACATGTTTTATGGCTTTCTTTGTTCTTAGACCACTTTGGGCTTTTAGTGTTGGGTTTGGGGCATTTTTTTGACAAGTTGCTATAAAAATCACTCTTTTCAGCCCACACCCCAAAACCTGGAAAAGGTCAATTTAATGCTTCTGGGAACCCTTAGTAAGCAAAGCTGCTCCATCTTCCCCCACCACCAACACAAGACACGTGGCATTGAAACAGAGAGCATTGCTGGGCTAAAACTAAAAGGCTGAAGGATGGGAAATTTGGATAAAATAGTAATTTATGACTTTGCAGTCGCCAAACTTGACAAATGAGGAGTGTCAGAGGAGGCAGGGCTAGGCTGGCCTTGCTGTAGATTGTGGATTATTGAACCACAAATTACCAGCAGGATCCTCTGTCTCTGGGTTGTACCAAGGTCCAGTCACCTTCCTGAGCCTGGGGTGAAGTTAAGGTGGTCTCCCCTAAACCAGGAACAGTCATGTTCACCAGGACACCTGCCTGAATCCCTTCAACCCTCACCTGAGTTTCCCCAGACACTCTCCACACCAGGAGTTTCTGTTGGGAAGCCAAGGAGATGAAAACCTCTTGCCAGAGGAGAGGCTCATTTTCCCTTAGCCCTGTCCCTCCTGTTGGAAGGAGTGCTGTCATTCACCTTTAAAACAGCCAGCCATCAAACTCAAGGTACACAAGAAGTGAAAAGCCAAGCCCCTTGGTCTGCAGTGGCATCTTGCCTTCATTGCTCACTTTTGCTTGTTTATGCCTCCAGCTTGGCACATTGCATGCAGGACCTGCACAAAAACAGTCTCCTAGAGGAAGCAAGGGATGTCTTCCTCCAACAGGCAACCAGAAAAAAATGCAAAGTGCTTCCCGCTTTCAGGCCTGAAAGGTGCTGCTTTCACCTGCAAGTCTGAATGCTGGGCTTTGCTGGGGAATGTGTGGATGCAGAGGTTTAGCTCTCAGTTTTGAGGCTGCTTTCAGGTGAAAGCAGTGCTAACAGCAGCAGGCCTGATCCCCCCACCCGTTCCTACCCTGCCATCCTGAGCTGCAGCTCCTCTAAGGAGCTGCCCAGACCCAGGTTCTTGCCCCACTGCCATCCACAGCACCTCCCCTCCCACCCCACGTTGCTTGAATATGCTTGGGTATATCTAAAGAAATGTAGACTGGCATATGACTGAACCCAATATTCCCAAGCAAGTATGTGTTACAACCAGGCAAACCTCTCTCCCAGCTCCTTTAGCACACCCTGTGCAGACAATGCCAAGCAATTACACTCTCCAGAGTGACTTTTGGTCAGGGATAAAAGTTGGTGGCAGATTTGAGTGGCAGCCTCTTCCCACCTCCTCTGCAGGTCATGTGCCAGCAGGACACTCTGCTTCTCAAGGACACACTGCACCTCAAGGGAGAAAATGGATGGGAGAACCCAGGATGCAAAATGAGCTGTGTCAGAGCCCTGGAGCCTCTCAGCCTGCCTGCAGGCATGTCCACATTCACACTGTCAGTGAGGACCAACTCAGCTCCTTTCCTATACCTGGATTTTGAAGGATGTGCAGCTGAAACAAAGCATGAGTCAAGAGGGAGCAGTCATAAAACTCAACAAAGAGCTGTTTTCCGTGATGACATTTCCCAGAATAATCACACATTGCTAATAGACAAACAGAAGTGAAATATCTGGGAGTTTGCCCTTTCGGTACAGAATTCCAGTCCAGATAAAAGAACTGTAACAGCCTTTGAAATGCTAAAAAGGAGCAGGCTCACAGTGGTATCTGATTGTTCCTCCCCAGCACAGGCTAAATGAGAACGGGTAGCAGTTGCAGAAATTAGCTTTGAATTAGAGCAATGAAAATTCTTCTGCAGTGAAATGATGCAAACACCTGCCTGTTTTTGCTGTTTTTATTACCTGTGATAGCACATGTCGGGATATCACACCCTCAATAAAGTTTTACTGCATTAAAGTTTCTCATTCAGCATTGAGCTGCATTTCCAAGCTCTGTTGCTTTGCAAAAGAATACGAGATAACACTTAAAAACCTTTCCACATGCCTCTGTAGCAGGTTACTGTTACATGTATTTTATGCATGGAGCCAGGCAATTTACCTCAGTGAAAGACCACGATGTCCATTCCAGTGGGCTGTTACTGTTGATAAAGAAAAACCTTTTCATTCAGCTCCATGTAAGCCGACGTTTCAGTCTGCCATACAAAGACTGGGAGGAGGAGGCATCCAAGCAAAAGTAGCCAGCTGCATGAAGCTGAGCTTTATGACTTTTGGCCAGTTTCTGCCTTTATCCCATCCATTTTCCAGGGTCTCACCACATGCAAACTTCCCCAGAGTGGAGCCTGCATGGGGTTAACAGAGTGCTACAGACAGCAGAACCTTTTCCTGCTGCTGAAAAGTCAGAGAAAAGGGGGAAAGAAAAGGTCTGAGCAGAAAGATTAGAAGCCGGGAGCACCTCCTTCACCCAGGTTATTGTGGAGACAAACAGGGCTCAAAGAAAAAGAAGGGGGCAGCAGCAAGGGGTGGGGCACACACTGAATTACTGGGGAAGGGAGCTGGTCCAGCTTGTAGGGCTTTTCTAGCCAGAGGAAAAATGGGTCTCTTTGCCTATTGTGATGAGTGTAACCACCGTGCCTTGCTTTGCTCCTCACAGGACAGTACTCTCAAAGGAAAAGTCAAGAAATAAGACCAATTCCTCCCCCCCCCCAATCCTCTGAACAAGATATCATGAGTAGTTAAATCCAGCTAGCCCTGTTCCCTTGGAGCCATGCTGAGCGTGCAGAGATGCACACAGATGGTGGGCTTGGCTGAGGCCACCAGAACCTGGTCTCCTACAGTCCCTGCCAATGGCAGACGCTGTGACAGCAGCAAAGGGGACGGGAGAGAACTGGAATAAACAATGAAACCTCATGAAAACACCAGAGAGAAAATGGCACCTTTCCTCACCAGGCTGAGAAAGCAGGGTCTACCTCCTTTTGCTACAGAAGCCACATGAGAAGGATCAGGACTATGCAGGTGCCAGCTTTCAATCACTTAACTAGCAAGTGGGAGCTGGTTTTGATCATGGAGAGACTGGGAACAAGCATCTGCAGGGACACACAGTGTTCTCTCCCACTGACCCCCAAACTTGTCATTTAAGACACTTCTTTTCATCTGGGCCAGTAAGAGCTGCCATCAGACAGAGCAGCTTGTCCAGCATTATCGAAAGAGATCCAGCTGCACTAACTACACAGTTCCCACCAAAAGCAACCACTGAATATTTGTGCCAGTCTCACAACAATAAACATTTTAACTTCATTAATACTTAATAACATTTCTGAACTACTGAGTGAAAGCTGGGTGCTGATGTAACCAGTCTATGCATAAATTTTATAATAAAATAGTCTCTGGAGTTTTAAAAAAACACTTAAATCACTGGCAGGAACATAAGAAAGCCTTGGTACTGAGAAAAAATAATGTTTAATAGGAAAAGTTAATCTGCGCATATAAAAACCAAAAGACAAAATACAACAGAATTAAATGATTCTTTAAATGACTGTAATCTATAAATATATGTACATGTGTGTGCATATAAGTATTTTATATAAATATAATGTTAATGCCAGTCAACAGATAATGCACACTCAGTAAAATACAAATTCTTTTTACAGACTGATTTATTGACTGTATGTAAGAAATTAAAAAAAAAAACCAACAACCCAAAAACCAAGCTTATTATCATTCAAACATAAAGACTGCAGAAGAAAGAAAAATGCTAACACTTTCCACAGGAGCTAAAAATGTAAAATCAATGCAGTTTTGCAAGATGAAGAAGAATAGTGTTTGTTTGGAGATATTGTATCTTGCCATTGTATTGGGAAAGAAGGCTGTGGAAAAGGTCAGACAAGTGCCATTGTCTCTCACAAGCCCTGTCAGCAGAGATCTGAACAGAATGCTTTCAGATGGCAAATACTGGGGGGTTGAGGAGGGTGAAAAAACCTGGATCTAATGTAGTAAAGTGAAACAGGTCAGATTTTCATGAAAAACAGTTTTCATTGGCCCAAAACTGTAGTTCAAATTAAGTGAGCACAAATCCAAGTGAAGCTCTGGGTACTGATGTATTTCAGCATCACACATATTGTCTGGACCGTCTTCCAGAAGAACTGAAAACCAGCAGAATTAAAATCCTGGCGTCTTGTGTACGTTCATTCTCTTGCCAATGCACTGGCCTCATTGAAGAAGCCTAATGTTTATTGGAGCACATTAGTTCTTTTAAAAGAAGTCCTCTTCTTCACCCTACTCCCTAACATTTTCCCCTTATTTCAAAGCTGATCTCTTTCAAGCAGGAATCTTCCTCTAGAAAATCTTGAGAGAATCTGGGGTTAAGGTCGTTGTTGTCTCTTCTGCTGAAGAAACTGCATTGGTGAGAAGCTGTGAAACTCTTTGCTCTGTCCCAGTGTTGTGGTGGTCGTCCATCCTTCTGCTGCTCTGCTCACTCAATATCTGCTCTGCGTCCTAAAGCCCGTGGGCTCCCGTGATATTTCATACTACAGAGAATTTTCAGACAAGAAAAGAAGAGAAATAAGGACTCACAAAGCTCATCAAGTCTAACATTTGCATGAGTGGCCCATACAGGGTTTGATCCCACAACCTTGGTGTTATTGCTGAGCTAATCTCAAGCCTCTGCTTCCTCTGTGGCTCCCTTGCAGGATTCAAGGATAAATCAGGCTTTTTTTTTTTTTTTTGGAACATGCCTTCCACATACCGACACACCACTGCTGACCAGGCTCCCCTGGGCCACAGCATTCCAAAAACTGTTCTATATTATTCGTGGCCCTTCACACCTTTCCCCTCTGCAATGCTGCAGCAGCTGCATTTGCTCTTGCTGTGAACGAGGCAGCAGCAACCAGGGGGGAGGACACAATCCCCCGGGCATTAGGGCATCAGTCCCAGCTTAAACTGACCGTGAATCTTGCATGAGGCTGCAGCTGGGAGGTGCCACTGCAGCACCTGTTCTCTCTAAAGCAGCCCAAAAGAAGCTCAGCTGGTAGCAGCCTGTGATGCTTGCAGGCACACCTGTGCTGAGGGATGAATTTGGCCAGTGCAGACAAATATCCTATGACACAGCAGGCCACTGGGCAGCCCAGCCCTTGCTTTGACCCTTGCTTTTCACATATCCCTCCTGTGGCTCAAGGATGACTGCTGTGGCTTTAGAAAGGTCTTCATGAGTGCTGATCTCTGCACTGAGGAAAATTTCTGTGTTAAGATAACTTTCTTCAGCTGCAGCTACAGTTGTTTAGGTGCTTTTATACCACTTTGGCCTTTGAGACCAAGGGAGGATGTACAGAGGGGAGCTTAGGTTCCCAAAACATCTGTAGCCCACAGTGCTACTGTTCAGGAATTCCATTCCCACAGGACTATGTGAAACACTTACCAAATCATCATAATCCCTCTCTGGAAAACGATCTCTATTTGTGGAACGCATCTCATAGGGGTTGTTGGGCTGATATCCTGGGTTTGCGTGGCCAGAAGTGGTCTGGACCCTGGGGAACATGCTTGGCCTGTCTTCAGAGGTGCTCATGTCAGAATACCCTGACTTCATCAGGCTCCTCTTCTCTGGATTTTGTTTGTGCTTTGCTCTTCAGAGAAGATGAAAGAACAAAGATTTTAAAAGACTGTTTAGTGTGCCTTACTTATTAAGTCCAACTTACTGATTTGTCCACTCCCACCTTATTTTGAATACTCAGCCCCATTCTGAAGCATGCAACAGATTCTTATAGCATGTTTACTTTTTAGCTAGTGCAAACCCTTATTTTGAACACACTGCAAAGCAGTTTCTATTCAACTGTAAGAAATACCCTTACCTGACTGAAATGACAGAGACTGCTATCACTAAACTCAGGATAATGGCTCCAAACACTGTGCCCACTATTATAAGGATGAGTTCACTATCTGAGGGGAGAAACAGCAAAAAAGAAATGTGTCAATTAATAACTCACAATGAATATTGAAAAATGAGGGAAGCAGAGGGGAGGGAAGGGATGGGATGGGATTTATTTTCAGGCTCCTGGTGCTTACAACATTTTGTGGACACAGAAGGATGTAAATTAAGGATCTGCATTAAAGACCATCTCTGATGGATGGCTGTTTTGACTCCAGCTCTAGGTCCTAATGCTGTGCACTGAATGGTTTTACACATAGTTATAGGTTTGGGAGGATTTAGGGGTTGTTTAAGCTAGTGTTGATGCTAAACTACGTAGTTAGGTGTCAAATAGGCTCTTCCCATGCCCTAGGCACATAAGACAACAGAGAAATTTCACCTTTTTTTTCCCCCTAACGTAGTCCTTCTATAAATACAGAATGGTGGCACTCCTAAAGGCTACCACATTTTTTTTTAATCTCAGACAGATTAAGAATTACTAGGTATTTTTCAAGACAATAATTAAAAATCAGAAATTCTTATACTTACTGTCAGTGCATTCCTCCCCAGAGAAGCCCACTGAACATCTAGAGGAGAGAAAAAAGAAAAAGGGGAAAGAAAGAAAGGATGATTTTTAGGGCCCCATTTAATCCAAACCATTCTGTCATCACAAAACAATAGTATATTTCACTCCTTTATCAGCAATTTCTCCACAAAGTGTCTCCATTACAGGTTTCCTCTTTAACCCTATCTTACTGTTAAATTCTTTACTTTCATTAAAGTGAAACAATCTGAGATTTTCAGAGTGATTTGTGATCTCGGCACTAAAAGTTTCAGCTTCTCAGTCTGAAAAATGTTAAAAGGACCTAATTTTTCTAAAGAAGTAAATTCTGCATCTCTGAGGCACTCAGAATTGACATGCAATGTCTTTAACAAAAGCCTCAGTATAAGGTCTATAAGGACTGGCAACTCTATCTTCCTCCCATAATAGTTTCTTATATTTAAAAGATATCGACTTTATGGTAAGAAATGTTCAATTTGCAGCAGTAGTAACTACAAAAAGAGCTGGATTAATGGATATGGGGAGTGAGTCTCTGTTTATCCACCTGAGCAGAGCACAACCAGTCACTCACTTGGGCTCACCAGCAAACACCCTTGTTGTGTTCTGATCCTGAGCTGACAGAAATAACTTCAGAGAGAAAACCAAGCAGGAATTAAGGTCTGAAAGTTGTGGGGAAACAGTCCCCACTGATAGCAGTGCAAACATTCCAGGCACTGGAGGCACGTCCTGCTCTAATGCCTGTTGCTTACTAAACACTTCAGCAGAGCAGCTCCCATGGCTCAGCCCCGCTGCCAGAGCAGTTTGTGTTTATGTGGTGAAGCACTTTATCCTCTTCACTGACTCACGGGTGACCTTGGCTCTCCTGCCTTTCCTCCGAGGAGTTATGAGTGCACACAAAAGACTAATGCCAAGGAGTGAAAACGCCACGACTTGTGACACCAGAGCTTGTGACACCCCCTGCTCCCCGCCTGGGGCACCTCTGTGATTCACGTAGCTGCAGCCTGTTCTTCTGGGCTGCAGCTGGCCCTGGGGTAGATGTTCTTCTCCCCTGCCTTCACCCACAACACAGGGACGCAATAAAAAGCTGAGTACTCACGCCATGCATTCTCCGTCCTGCTTTTTAAAAAAGTTATTCATACATTTGCATGTTTGACTCTTTTCTTCTTGTATGCAGTACTTGTGTTTCGCTGCAGAGCAGGTTTTACTGCAAACTGTATTTTCAGGGAGAAAAAAATGAGTGAATTGCAGATAGAAGATTATTTTATTGCTCTGGAAACACACACCCACCCCTCTCCTGTGCTTTAAAGCATCCAAATGTATTTTTTAGGGTTGTACCCATGCAAAGCAAAAACTGAAATATAAAATCACAAAATTAGAAGTAAATAGGCTGTGTTCAAAACCATCCAGCTTCATCAAAAAGGAAATCTGGCTAGGCTGCATCTTCCATAGGCAAGCAGTGGCCTGAAGTTTGATCTCACAGCAGATGATTTGCCTGGCAAACTGTATCAGTTTTAGTCAGGCATGAGACCACAAAGGCCTGCACTGGATCACATCTCACTGGGATTGATTTTAGCCAGCTTTCATAGCTTTATCGTGGATTTTTGAATTATTTTTTGTTTCTCTTAAAATCTTACATGTTAGACCTTTTTTACTTCTGTAGTGTGCAAATTTTCGTTTCCATAAGAAGAAAAGAAGTTACTTAGAAGAAAATTAGGTACATCACAGGGCTTTGGAGGGTAGCCAAAACATAAACAGAGCACTCACTAAAGGACTCCAAACAAAAAAGTAAATAAAACTAACAGTTTTATTACTAAACTAACAATTTAGTACTAACAGTACCCAAAAATGACAGAAAACATTCTTCTCACAAAAGCCTGTCTAAATCCAGGTAATGTAAACCTAGAATTAAGAACAAAGGACAGAGCCTTAACAGGCTATTGTAGTGCATCATGAGACTTTCAGTTCCACCAGCTTCCTTCAAGTAACTTGTAGAATTTATTCCCAAAATATGTTCTAGCAGAGAAGGCTGTGAGTATAGGATTCAATTTGTTCCATCCTTTACTTGTTTAGGTTTCAGTTCTTACCAGGACTCTAACAGTGCATTTAAGGACTTGCCTACTCACTGCTTTCAGTGATTTTTTTAATCAAGTTTTAATATTTTATTCTACTGGAATAAAATGATAGATTTGTTCAAAGTGAAATATGAGGATATGTTTCTATGGCTTTTTTAACAGTATGCCCATTCCCTGATTTTCAGAAGGCAGCACATTTGTCCAGCACCTTTCTCAAAAAGGGACCAAGGCAGGGAATAAACAGATCAGCCTTTCAGGGATAGATAAAGCAGAGAGGTTCTTACCTGGACAAGAAAGGTCATCCCCTTGTTTTTTTTCTAAATCAGGTTTGCATTTGCATTCTGGAAAATCTTTCCCTTCACACACTGTGGTTTTAGGATCACATCCATAAATATCACAATGTGCTGCCACTTTAAAAGAGAAACGGAGCAAAGTTGAATACCCTTTCATAGAAAGCAGTGCACTTGCCCAGTAAATCATAAACCAATTACTTCATAATTCTAAATAGAAAAGAATTATAAGTCCTCTTCTTGGGACATCAAGATTGCAGACTTTTGGACCAGCCCATTTTTCCTCCTTGCTCTTTAACAGTTGAGGTCCTGTTTCCATCATATCTTCTGACCTTCTGTTTCTCAGCCTCCTATAATTATCTCCAAACCTTCCTGGCTCCAGCCCATGAAAAGGGACATTCTTCCCATAAGTTCATATTCTGAAAACTAAACTTTCTGACTCACCTTATAAAAGTTAAAAAAAAACAAAAAAAAAACAAAAAAAAAACAACCAACAACACTACAGAGAAAAACTATGACTACTCTACTATTTTTTTCCACAACTGAGCTGTGAGACCCAGATCCCATGCAGTTCTAGAGAGATATAAATGTTTCTGGGCATGCAGCTCACTTCATGAGCAGCACTAGTATCCTGTTTGCCCAGTGTGATGCTCTTTAGATCCATGTCCTTGTGGTGGGAATGGTTTAAAGGCCTCAGTGCATGGCATGCTGTAGAGGGATGTGACTGCACTGGTGCCTTGGGAGCTCTCAGTGGTTTTCTATTTCCTTCTCACAGCTGAGGATACAGACAACAAACTCAGGCTTTAAGCCATGAAACAGACTCTTCATTATTAGCTATGCCTTTTTAAAAAGCTGATTTCAAAATAGGAACTTATATTGAAAAGAAAATAGAAAAAGCATCCTTATTTTAATTAGGAACTCATTCTCCCAGTATTACACCTTTAATAATGCAAGAATTTACTGGGTTAAATCAACAAATCCCTCAGCTCAGTAGCTAATAAGTGAGGCATCATTTCAATTATCATGGCTTATTATGGGAGAAGTCTAAAGAGAGTTTAATCCTATTTTGCCAGTAAAATACTGGCTTATTCTCAGAAGCATAATATATATCTGTATATTTTTTATCCTGATTTTTCACACTTCTTAACACTCACCAGGTTAGAACCACCATGCCATTACTTACCAGGGAAAAATATTTTCCTTTTCTTCTTTACACAGGGAGTAGGAAACTTTAATAAAACAAAAGAGCCTAGCACTGAATTGTTGGCTCTTCAAAATTATCAAAGATTGAACATTCAGCTCCTTAAAATCAACAAGGCTTATGATTTGATGGGCTCCTATGCCCACAGAAATCTTCCAAATAGGTTTTAAGAAGCTCTGTTTCTGCTGATTAATTGCTTCCCTAGCAAGGAGTTACATACCCTTATAAGAATTGACTAAGGACCCGTCATTCCCAATTGCCTCTTCTATTGCAGCGCTAACTGCAGCCTCAGTTGCATTGGAGCTCTCCCTGAACAGGTTTGTCACTGCTACATTCAGTCCTGGAACAGAATTTCTGCTTTCACTTGGATGTCTGAAAAGGACAGATAATACCATTTTAAAGTTTCACATAATCTATATGGATAGCAAGCTAGGAGCAAAGATGAGAGACAATTTCTGCCAAATCTCCCTCTCTCGCCCAGCTTCTTTCTTCCCATAAAGTAGGTAGTTGCCAAGAGACCTGAAAATGAGTGTAAGTCTTGCTCAGGAATACATTAAGAGCCATCTTTCCAGTAGGTCCAGGTGTAAATAGGTAGCTGCTGGATTTAATGATAAAAGCACTGCTCCTTTGTGTGCTTTTGATACACAACTGGCATTTTCTAGCTGGGTTAACCTCAAACCAGCTGCAGTGTGGAGAATCTCATCTCTTAGACCCTAACTTTCACATGCTTCCATCAGCCTGTGGTGTAATCCAGGCATGATGTGGAGAACCCACCCTGAAGGGTGCTGAGGATAATTCAGGGTGTGACCTGAATGAATGCAGAAGGGTCTGTTTGCCATGTAGAGGCATCTGTGCAAGCCACACACTATCTGGGTAGGGTTCAGCTCACAGCAGCCTCCCTGGTGTGAGGTGGAGAGCAGCAGTGACTTCCCTGGTCTTCAGCTAAACCTCCTGCTGCCAGGATATGCACACAAATATCCTTAAGTGGCAGACTGCTCAGTTCCTTGAGGTGTTACTGTGCCCCACGTCACAACTGCTCTGCTGGAACTCTGCTAGAACAACTTTCTGCTTAACTGCTTAATCCCTGGGGTGCCCTGAAAGGGCTGACACTGTGTGCTAGCAAGCCAGGTGTTGCTTTATAGGGGTTAGGAAACAGAGAAGCTGGCAGAGCTCTGGGGACAGTAACCTGTAACAGATGGGGAAGAAGAGACATCTCACAGGGTCTACCTAGACCAGCAAAGGACCTATGCCCACAGCTACACCACATCCCATTCAGTAGCATCTTTGCTCAACCTGCCATCAGGAGACACCAACAAATGCACAAGAAAAAATGCATTTGCTATGCCTTTTGTAATGAGGGTTTTTAAATTTAAACTGGGACTCCAAGCTGGGTGGCACTCCCAACAGGCACAGGAACTCAGAGTTAACTGTTAGAATTTCAGACATATCAGATATCACAGGGACTGCTAGCTACAGCACAGGGCTGCATCCTACATGGTGCTAGAAGCAGGACATACAGCGTGGAGCTGCCTCAGCCTGCCCATTTCACAGAATGGGCAGAAACACTGGGGTAAAAATGGGGCCAGCATCCCTCCTTTATGGGGAAGCCTTCTGCGCTGAACTCATCCCAAATCTTTATTGAATTGAGAACTTCAGGGAAAACAGATTAAAATGAGGTATGTGGAAGCATGTACTGTGCAAAAAACAAACCGGCAGACTTACTGAATTTTCACGATGACAGTTTCTTCATAGCCTGTTAGATTTTTGAAGGCCTCCTTAAACTATAAAACAGAAAGAAATTGGAGTTCAAGGCAAGCAGAAACATAGACCAAAATCACATGAACCACTGAGGCCTCAGCAGTAAAGTTTTTATGCAGAATATGCTAGTACAGGCACAAATAAAGGAAGGTGATGTGTCAAATCCACCAGGCAAGGTATTGCAGAAGAGGAACAGTGGGGTGCTGCTGTAGAATATGGATGGGAGGGCAGTGGAGGGAGGGAGAAGGAATGTCAGGCTGAGTTAAATGGCTGATAGCTACAGACACCTCTTTGCAAACTCTTTGCTTAGGAGGGTGTCTCCACAGCACCAATCTGTGTACAGGTAGGGGGAAGAGGGAGAAGTTATCTCCTCAGAGATGGCATGTGTCCCTGAGAGGCAGTGAAGTGGGATCATCAGGGTCAATCTTGTGGGAAGAAGCACTGATGAAAGCATTGATCTCAACAGGGTCAGAAGAAAAGTCACTGCTCTCCCTCATCCCATAAGAAGCAGGGAATAACCCGTGGAGGCAGCTGCCTTCAAATGCCACAAAAGCAGGAGGTGCCATGAGAAGAGGATAAGATGTCTAATTCAACTGAAATAAAATATTAACTCTCTCTCTTTCTTTGTAATAAAATTCAAATTATTTTCTTTGCTATTTTCACTTTTGCATTCTATTATGTATTTATTTTAGTCCTACATGTGATGCTCTTCTGTAGACATATCATGAAAAAAATGGTGGACAAAAAAAAATTTTTTAACATTCTGGAGTAACAACTTTTGGTCACTTTCTGAGGTAACATTCCTAGTAAGCAATATAATAATATGCAGAAACTGATAACCATCTTTGATCATTCCTGATTAACATAGTGAATATTTTTTAATCAGATATCTGGTAGAGTTGCATATATATTCTTCCTTACTGCCAGAAAGAGAAATAAGCAAATCCACTTGTTTCAACATGGCAGTATAAATTAAACTGATCATCTTATTTCTCCAGGAAATCTGTTACCAGATTTTATGTATAATCATAGAATTATAAAAAATGTTCAGTATCCATTTCACTAATAACATTAAAACACTAATACTGGCAGACTTATGGATTTGGTATGTAGACACAGCTGGACAGCCATTTGGAAAAGTTTGTGCTGCATGGAATAATTTTCTTTTAAAAAAATTAAAGTTGTTCATTTTTACTTATACTACTGAGTAGTATTGAGTCTTCAGCAAACAGTGGAGATCAGAAACTCAATAGGCTGGAAGACTTCACTCAGCCTCATTGCTTCTGGAGAGGGAATGGTGAAAGATGCAGAGAAATTTATGTGAGAACTCCCCAGAATAGAAGTGGTACTAAAAATGCAGATATTCAGGATTCCCTTCACTTCAGCAAGAGCCATGCGTGTGCTCATCTGAGGGCAAAGTTCAAGTCTTTTATAAATAGGTCTAAACTAATGTGAAGCATTCTTTGAAAGAAGTAGATCTCTTGTAGAGAGAAACTTTTCTAGGCCCCACATTAAAGAGAGTGTCCTCTCTGTCTGCATGACATCCAGTACAGCTTTAAATATACGGGGGGGAAAAAACCATTGTCACTCACAAATGCTGATAAATTTTTGGACAGTTCTTGATACTCTGTGGAATTTACAAATTGAAGATTTTCACTGTAAGGTGCATTCACTGCAATGGTGGCTGGGAATATTTGCCCTGGAATGAGAACAGAGAGTGTAAATTAGAAAGCATTCAAGAAAGTCCAGTTTCACCTTAGAGTTCCCCAGCTTTTAGGGAGGGGGAAATAATGCAGAAAACAAATCAGTTGTATTTTTCATATACAGGAGGGATCAGTAGAGGACAAATCAATTCAGTCACACTGGGGGATGTACTTTGGCTGCCAGGGAAGAAGACAGGAGCCTGGGCCCAACCAATCTGTCCTGATTGTGAAACTGAGTAACATTAAACTGTCAGCATGGCCTGAAGCTACAAGACTTTTTGCAAGGTGTTACAGAATGTAGTGAGAAAAAATGTATACTGAGTACTCCAAATTTGCAGCTATTAAGCAGTTAATGTGGTTCACTGTGGTTTACAGAGAAAGTAATTCAGAATCAACCTGCTTCTTAAGCTTCACAAGTAAATTTGAGAATCCTGCCTGCTGATCCTCAAATAAGAAGCCCTATTTTCTCATATTCTTGCCTTCAGAAGCATTTCAGAGATCCATTTCCACAGGACTCTGATGCGTGTTTAGCAATAGGGAAAATCAATCTGGTTGTTCACAGGTCTTCGCAAGTCTGGTCCTTTTTAAATCATTGCCATTAATATCAATGTCAGGTTTACACTTGCACTTTTTTTCCTGCTTTTCACTATTTTAATCTCCTACACCCCTGACAGAGAATTCACCTTCTTTTCCTAGAACATTAACCTCCTTGGCTGTCGCTGTTTTGCGAGATTGCAATCTAGGTCATTGTAGGAGTGGCTGCCTGCAAAGCAAGAAATCACTCAGCAGTCACTTTCCCAGACTGACTGTGTTTTCAATTATAACATGACAACAAGCTATATGGTAAGCAAAATTCACCTGAGCAGGTAACCAAAAGCATTGATGCCCTTCTGCAACTCACCTTTTTCACAAGTCTTATTGCTGTAGTAGGATCCATATTTGCACACACAGGTATAATTGCTTTGTAAGGAAATACAGGCAGCTGTTCCACAAGGATCTCCACTGCAGAAGTCCACTAAGATGAAAGATATTGACATTAGGGTTTCTGTGAATTTCTGCAATAGCCAGCTCATGTATAAAGTCATTCATATATGGAATAGTTCATAGATAGTTCTGCTAAGGGAAGCTACCAGGTATCTTTTAGAGAGTATAGATGCAATTGCAGAGCATACAGCTGTATATCTTGCTTGTTTATGGTATAGTAACTGTTTTCCCTACACAATCCAGCAGGATATCACAGTGAGGACGCAGAGTATGGCTGAAATTCATTATCTGTCATACTGAGCACTCACAGTTCAACTCTACTTAATACAACTAAAAGCAAATCAAAGAAAGAAGGTACATCAAGGCTTGCCAAAATCAGTGACTATTAGAAAAAGACAGATTGCAATAGCCTGTGTGTCTTTAATACTGCATTGGCACATACTTGCCTTATTATGACAGTGTCATAGCACAGTCCTTAACTGCAGACACATTAACAAGGATTCCAAAGTGAATCATAATAGTGCATTTTCTCAGAGTAATTATATATATTCTGTAAGGTTTTAGTGTATGTATTTTATATCTATACATAATTTAAGTGGTTAATAAGTAATTAAAATTTATATTTCTATGCATCATGTATATATAGGATGGCAATTACAGTTCCCTTTCAAAACATCAAATTCTGTTTTTCACCCTGCCTTGTTTTTTACACTTCACTCCATAAGTACAGTCTCATAGATGAAAGATTTTCTGTGAAATGAGGAAAAAAATAGGAATTCTCATTCATACCCCACAAAAAAAAAAAAAAACACTCAAGGAATTTTCATTTCCAATAAGATTCATCTCCAAATATTTTTTCCAGAGAATCTAGTGAAGCAATTTTTTTTTTTTCTCCTGATGAAAAAGACCCCAAGCACAAGGCTACAACAATTGTGAACTCTTCCAAGCACATTCCACTTGCAGCAAGGGCCCTTGGGGAAGCGTGGCAGGGATATACAACATTAAATGAGGATACTTAGCCACAATGGAAGGCTCTACTGGGATTCAAAATGGTGGGGTATGGAGAGCTCAGGTGAGACACATGCCCTGTCCCCCAGAAATAGTTCCTGGCCCCAGCCCCACGCCAGGGTGTGCCCCAGATCCCTCCCTGCCCATGCTCCAGCAGCCTCAGGAACAACTCCCTGCAGGACTAGGTCAGAGGCTGGCCTGGGCACCTCTTTGCATGGATCCTCTTGTATCCCTGCCTGATGAAGGAGGCAAAGACACCTAGCACAAAAAAAGCAGCCTCCTCCAGTCTTCCCCAACACATTCTCCTTGCAGCAAAGGCCAGCAGGAAAAGAGAGAAGAGTGGAGGATATTAATGGGCACAATCTGCTCAGCTTAGTCTCTTCTGGAAAAGAAACTTGGGAAAGCCACGGAGGGGAACTCCTTCTTGTCTGAGGGGGCTACAGAGCTCCCTGGACTTGGTTAATCCAAGCAGTGCCTACAAAATGCTGCCTGAGCAATTACTCCTTACCTGCAGGTGCTGAAGTTGGCTCAGTAGCTGTTCCATTAGCAGTAGTGTTATCTGAGAAAGGGAAGAAAAGAGACATGGAAGCACAGCGTAGCACTGTCAGTTCAAAAAGCCTTGGGCAATTCGGTGCTCTTTCTCTCACAGCCCTTCTCTCACACCCTGCTCTTGGACTCCTCCTTACCAATAGCAGGTGGAAGAGTGGAGCATATTCATGGGCACCATCTGATCAGCTTAGTCTCTTCTCGAAGAGGAAGGTGGGAAACCCACGGAGGGGAACTCCTTCTTGTCTGAGGGGGCTACAGAGCTCCCTGGACTTGGTTAATCCAAGCAGTGCCTACAAAATGCTGCCTCAGCATTTTTGCTCCTTACCTGCAGGTCCTGCGGTTGGCTCAGGATCTGTTCCATTTACAGTACTGTTGTCTGAAAAAGAGAATAGACATGGAAGCACTGCCTAGCACTGTCAGTTCAAAAAGCATCAAGCTGGGAGTGTAGGACGACAGGCACAGTCTGCTGCATGCACCCCAGCCATGGTCCATGGCCTCTCCCTGCTGGGATGTGCCCCAGATCCCTCCCTGCCCATGCTCCAGCAGCCTCAGGAACAACTCCCTGCAGGACCTGGTAACAGGCTTGCCCTGGGCTTCTCTTTGCATGGATCACCTTGTTCCCAGGCCTGGTGTGAGAGGCAAAGGCTGCGAGCATGAAAAGAGCAGCCTCCTCAAATATTCCCCAACACATTTGCTTTAGAACAAAGTCCATCATGGAAAGATGGAAGAGTGGAAATTTTTTAAGGTCATGGTCTGGGTAACTTTGTCTCCCATGGGAGAAGAACTCAGAGAAACCCTGGCAGGGGAACTCCTCCCTGCCTGGGTATCTGCAGTGCTCCCTGGAACGTGGTTACTGCAAGCTGTCCCCAGAAGGGGAAGCCTGAAAGCTTTTCTCCTTACCTGAAGGTTCGGTGATTGGTGTCTCTGGTGGCTCAGTAGTTGTTCCACTACCAGTACTGTCTCCTGAAGAAGGGAAGAGAAGAGACATGGCAGCACTGCCTAGCACTGTCAGTTCAAAAAGCCTTGGGAAATTCTGTGTGTGTAGGACAAGTGCTGAGCAGCAAAGTGCTGTGGATCATTGTTGGGCTGAGCAGTCAAAGCCCTGAGCACCCTTGCCCAGCCTCTTGGCTCTCCCTGGCTCAGATGCCTATGTCATCTGATGTTTCCAATGGCAGCACTTGAGCACGTCCCAGGGAGGCAGTGCATGGCCCCCAGCCCAGCTGGGCAACCCGGCTGCAGTGTTCTCAACCACAGGCACATAGACGTCTCGATGCAGCAAAGATGCCTTGCCTGCCCAAGGAAGTCCACAGCAGCCAGAGCAACTCGGGGGAAACCATCAGACTGGGCACAGCCTGCACCTCTCCACTCCCCCATGGTGGCCTTTGGCACAGGCGAACAGAGACCAGCATGGAAAGATGGAAGAGTGGAAATTTTTCAAGGTCATGGTCTGGGTAACTTTGTCTCCCATGGGAGAAGAATTCAGAGAAGCCCTGGCAGGGGAACTCCTCCCTGCTTGGGTATCTGCAGTGCTCCCTGGAACGTGGTTACTGCAAGCTGTCCCCAGAAGGGGAAGCGTGAAAGCTTTTCTCCTTACCTGTACCTTCTGAGGTTGGCATCTCTGGTGGGTCAGGACCTGATTCATTTTCACTACCATATTCTGCAAAAGGGAAGAGAAGAGTCATGGCAGCACGGCCTAGCATTGTCTGTTCAAAAAGCCTTGGGCAATTCTGTGTGGTAGGACAAGTGCTGAGCAGGGAAGTGCTGTGGATCATTGTGGGGCTGAGCAGTCAAAGCCCTGAGCACCCTTGCCCAGCCTCTTGGCTCTCCCTGGCTCAGATGCCTGTGTCACCTGATGTGTCCATGACCCCTTGTCCCCCAAGGGCAGCACTTGAACACAAGGCCCTCTCACACACTGTAGTGTCCCCTGCTTTGTGGATATGGCTGTGTCGGCCAAAGCTGTCACTTCCAGTGGCAACCAGCCTCATTCACAGGTCCCTGAAGGATCTGGTCACAGGGTTCCCCTGGGCATCTCTACAGGGATCCCCTTCTATCCAGGTCTGATGCAGGACATAAAGGTGCCAAGCACAAAAACAGCCGCCTCCTCAACTCTTCCCCAGTGCTTCCTCCTTGCAGCAAAGAGCAGCAGGGAAAGACGAACTTATGGAGGGTATTCACAGCCTTGATCTGGGCACACCTGTCTCCCCTGGGAGAGGAATTCAGGGACACCTCTGTGGGGGCTGCACAGCTCCCTGGGACTGTTCCCAGAAGGGGCTGCCTGAGGGCTCTGCTCCTTACCTGCAGGTATTGAGCTTGGTGCCACTGTTGTGCCAGCAGATGTTTCAGCAGGGGCTTCTGATGGAGGGAAAAGAAAAGAGATGGCAGCACTAGGGAACTCTTTGCACACAGGACAGTAGAAAGCTGGAGAGACCTGTGTGTGTTGCTGAGCAGCCACGCCTCTGGGCAGCCTTACCCCGCCTTTTGTCAGCCCCAGGCCTCGTGCTGTGCTGTACAGATTCCTGTGGACATTTCTATTCCAGGAATTCTTCTTCTGCCACAGCATCATCTTGAATATTAAGACCTTCTCTTCCTGGACTACACTTCTGTGTATTTCTGATAGTATACATTATTTTTCCTCTATTTCTTCCCTTTCATAATTATTTCTGAATAAAGGGAACCCTGCGTGATACCAGCCAATTGTTGAAAATACTTCCTCAAACTTTGGTTTCAGCCTTTGTTATTGCTTTCTTTCAAAATATTCTAGTTATTTGTTTTTCGGTTGTTGCGTTTTGCTTTATTTAACCTTTATTTAGTCATTCTCAACTCTTGATAAAAAGAATGAGTTCAGGTTTGAGGGGTTTGTTTTGTTTTTCTTAGATGTAAGAAGAACAAATAAGAAACCAACCTTGCTGATAAATGTGTGATACTGACAAATGGCCAGTTTGCATCATGTAATCTAACTTTAATCTGAATTAGTTAATTCTTATTATTAACTCTTATTAATTAATCATTAATTTACAAGTTAAGAATAAACTTATTTACTTTGCGTGAATGCTGCTGCAAGCATAATTTTATCTAAAGCATTAAAAGCACATAGCTGAAAGACTTATGTATTTGTAGAGAAAATCCATGTCCCAATGTCTGCTGCACATCTCAGCAGACATTTGAAAATAGACCCCACTATTCTAGAGCTTTAGAAGGCTTTGAAAATCCAAAGTGAGGAAAATCTTCTACACTTTTTTTTTTTTTTTCTGATTGACAATATATTTCACATAGAAAAGGCACATGCAAAAGACAGGTAATCCATTAGCCTCCTCTAGGTGAAGGGGAACACAAGAAATTGTGGCAGCTCCCTGCCAGGCCTTTTGTCTCCACTGGTCATTGAGTTCTATAAACAGCATTATTTGTTCCTCAGTTAATATAAATGAGTATTTTTCCTATAACCATGATAATATGAATCTCTGCTGGCCACAGGCAATGGATGTTGGAACAGCAAACTGTTACAGAGCTAGCTTTTTTTACAACTGCTGGAGCTGGGAGGCTCTGGCTAACCATCGTCCAGGAGTACCTTTGGACTCAGGAAGAACAGCATCCACGGTGCCAGCAGAGTGCAAGAGCTGCAATTGAACCTCATGGATGGGCTTGACAAAGGTAAGCTGAGCAAAGGTGGCTAATTTATGGCTCTGTGTGCCTAGATCTAACCTTCTATGTATGGAAACAGGATGTGTTAATGGGCTTGGGCATTACCACTGTGATAAAGAAATGGATGTTACCACCAAGGATATACAATAGCAGAGACATCTGGCTGCTGAGCAGGGCAGGGCCTTTGCCAGTACTATTCAAATGGACACATCCTGCAAAGCTTTTACAATGTTTGCTTAGAATGAGAAAGGTTTCTGGGCAGATCTCTCCTATGCAAAGTCAGATCAAGTGAAAAATGCGTATTGCTTTCAGTAAATCTTGGCACAAGAATTTGCACACCTTGCTATTACCTACAAGCCTCCAACCAGGAAACCAACCAACAGACAGTCTTGAAGACTTCTATATTTATGATTTACAGCTGAAAATTGGTCTGTAGCACACTGTGGATTTTGCTGGAAATACATCTTTCATTCACAGTAGTCAACAGAGACCCATAACCCACAACTGTCTGCCACCAGTTGCAAGCTTAACAGGTCTTAATTCGGCTGATAACTCTGCAATTTTATCTTTGTATAGCTAGGAGTTCCTGTCCTCTCACAGCTTCAAGCTGCTGCAAAACTCTTCACAGAGATGCTTTACTTCTGCTAATATCTTCATCCCTTCATACCTCTCACTGAGTATCAGGAAAAGGCAAGTTTAGCTGTAGGCTCCGGCCCACAACTACCAACTTTGGCACAACACCAGAAAATGTACTAAGTGGCTTAAGGAATGACACCTTTAGTTTGAACAGACTATGGTGCAACCCTCTTGAAAGCTGGTGATGATGTTTCCATTAATTTATTTCAAAAGGAAAGAACAAAAGCTCAGTGAGCCGGCTCAGAGGGAGCTGCTTTCCAGACTGGTTGGTTAAGGAGCCTCTGGCCAAAAGGGTACTGGGGTGGAACAGTTGCACCTTTTGTTATGACTGTAACAGAGCTTGAATTACCTGGGTTTAGTATGAAAGTCCTGAAAACTGCTCTTGGAATAGGCTGAATTAGGTTAATCATAAGCACTAGTGATTTTCCATTGTTCTGCGAACAAGGAAAGCCGTTGGCTTACAGTGACATCTTTCATCATTAATTAATCAAAATCTAGACACGCTGAATTGTGTATCACAACTGGCTTCTCAACAGCTGCTGAAAGTACTAGAAAATCCATTCACTGCCACACAATAGCTGCCTTGATAAATCACAAAACAGAAGATAGTGGTTCTTACCTTTCAGAAGGCTCAGCACCAGGCCAAGCCACACAGCGAAGAGCACAGAGCGTCTCATTGCCACTTCTGCTGCTGCTGCCACTTGCTGCTAAGCCTAAGAGAAAGTGCCTTTCTCTTCTGGCGTCAGCTCATTTAAGGTCCCAGGCACAGGTAAAGAGCTCAGCCCTGAGCTGACGTCATGGTGGCAAGTGGCAAATGATAAATTCAAGCGGTGTTTTTCTTCCTCCTCAGGCTGGGAGGAGATTTCTGGACCTGCAGCGTTCTTCCTTTAAGTCATAAATACTTGAGATCTGTTGACACAAGGAAGTTACTGCTAAATAAGCTGACATGGGAACTGACAGTGCACCAGCTATCCCCTGCCAGCTTTCCATACCAACACCTTCCACGCAAATTAAATGAAGAGTGCAGTATAATCTGTTCTTAAAGTGGAAGAGGTGACCCTACCCCAAGGCACGCTAATTATGCACTTGGAAAAGAGTACCTGGGATCCACATGCTCACTTCCCTTGCAATAAATTACCAGTACAGACGAGCTTCATTCCTAATACTCCAATTATTTTTTTCTTATAAGCAAAATCTTATGCTAAAGCACTTCTTACTGCTTAACAGGGTAAAAAGAAACAGAAAGCACCTTTGACATCAAAGAAACAGGTCTGACATTGGCCCTTCTGGCAGTGATCATGGCTGTTTTGTTTGCTGCCCTCTTATGTGTGTTGCAGGCTCACTAAAGTGGTGAGCGAAAAGGAGGAGCAGGCAGGACAGCCAGCAGGTGTTTTTGTCTTTATCTGAGTGGCAGCCTTCCTTTCTTGAGAGAAAGTGTACTCCTGCCAGAGAGACATTTGTAACCAGGGGATGTCAGGCTGGAGCAGAAAGCCTGCAGTAGGTCTAGAAATGACAAAAAGCCCAGAAAGGTGTTAAGCAGGTAACCCTGCTGCGATGCATGGAAAATAGGTTGGAGACTGAGACTTTTTAACATTGTACTCTAGGAAGCTTCTGAAATGTCCAGTGAGAGACCAAGATGGGAAAAAAGGTCTCTGTGGGCAGAAGTTGGTTATCCCAAAGTCTCTTCTAGCTGACTCCCCTGCTCAAGTTTTCCAGTGTTTGTTCTGCTTTGTGCTCCAGTAAAATGCACTGCTTGAAATCAGCTGGGCTAAATCAGTGATTTCCAGTTCCTCCTTTTCAGGCAAAGGCATAATTTCTCTAATTTTGAAGGTCTGAGTGACTCTGTATCCTGCCAATTGTCAGTAAAGTCTTTCTCTGAAGCAAACACAGGTTATGCCATCATTACCAGACAAGAGAAGGATGAACAACCCATCAGTGTATCCCCAGGCTATGGTCCTAGTCTCCTCTGCCAGACCCCACTGCCAGCAACACAGGCAGGTTATGAACACACTACTGAATGCCACGTAACAGCTCAGTGTAGTAAATGCCTCTCCCTTCATCTGCTTTTGTTTGATTTTCTTTTTTAAGAACAAGAAATGCAGTCTTGGGTAATCTCCTATATTGAGAGGGTGTATCTCCTTGAATGAAGGAGGGTGAAACAGACCAGAAGTATTACTCAAAGTCATTCCTGAGCTTAGGGTTGTCTTAAACTTTTAACTTGCACTGAACCAGGAAACACTGTTGGCTTACAGACAGCAAAAAATGGTTGTATGCCTCTCTGTTGGCACAAGGAATGAGCAGCCTTGTCCCTCTGTGAACCTGCTCAGGATGCTGAGCCTGAAATGTGGTGGTTTTGCCTGTGCCTTCCTTTGTATCTCTGTCCCTGAAGCCCCTCCAGTGCGACCTGCTCTCCACACCTACGCTAGTCCCCACAGTGACCCCCTGGCAGCCGCCCTCTCCCTCTCTCTGCTCCTTCAGGCCATGCTGGATTCAGCTCCTGCCCTGCTGCTGCTCCCTCCCATACCCACTGCCCATCACAGATCATTCAATTCCTCCAGGCCCCTCCTTAAAACTGCTTTGCCAGGAAGCTGACAGAATAAGAGAAGGAAATGCCTGGGAAATGTTTGGCCCCGGTGCCCTGTGCCTACCTGCTTGGCCAGTGTCCAGCCTCCACCTCAGGCCACCACCACCCTCCCAGCTTCAGGGCACATCCAAAAATTAATCCCAAAGTCTTGTTAGAATAACATATTTCAGTGCTGTGAGCCCCAGACCCCAGCAGGTGCTTCAGGTGGGAATGGGTGTGCAGAGGAGGACAAACCTGGCTGTTGGAGAGTGGCACAGCTTTATGTCACCCATCCTCTGGCAATGTCCATCTCCCAGACTTACACTCTTCAGTCTTCATGGTACACTCCAATTTTCCAATGCTGCCTCAAGGTGCAGCTAGATAAATCCAGCTCTTAAAATCTCCCTGTTGGCTGTGGAGCAAGTGCATGGGACCAAAATAACTTCTCAGGGCACTATAGAAAATGAGGGCCAGGTGTCTAGCAGGTGGAAATGGTGCAGCTTTTCAGCCTACACTAGAGACTACAGCTTGAGTGTGCAGTCCTGCACATTAGAACTGTTCTCTAGTGAATGCACATCAGGAACTGGTGTGTTACCTATATTTTTAAACTTTACTTCCATTCCTACCTGGTTGTTTATTACGATCACAGCTTTGGCAGTGTGAGTCATTTGCAATGCAAAAGGCCCCAGTTTCTCCAGGAAATAATGCACTGGACAGACATACATCTTCAGGGACTAGCAGTTTTCATCTCTGCTTGCCCTTCCCTGTCCATTTTGTGACACACCAGCGGTCACAACAGGCTCTCTCCAGGAAGGGGGGCGACAGGCTCTATGTGTCCCATTGCTTGGTGATTTGTGGGGCAATTAATTACAGAGATATGGTGGTTTGGGAGAACAGACACAGAGAATTAACCAAAGAGGGGAACTGATACCAGTGAAACTGCACTTGCTAAGTCATTAAGCCCAATAAAAAGTTGGCTGTTAGTCTAGAGAGACTCACACAGCCACAGGAATTGTGATGTCCTGCAAGGAACTACAGAGAAAACTTCCTTTGCAGAAATAACTCAATAACTTTCCAGAGGCTGTAAAATCAAACTGTTGTGTGTCAAAACTGAGATATGACAATCAAGAACACTGAACAATTATTATGGAATAAAAAATATGCTATGTTTAATAACAGTAGCTGCTCTATTGTCAATACTTTTTTATGGCAGGAAAAAGAAATACCAAAAAGGCCTTGTCTATCTATTAGAAAGTGCATGCAATCAAGAGGCAATCATGCTGTCAGCAGAGAAAGTAGGAAAAATTGTCTTTTACAGCTCTTTATGTGCATCAATACTTTTTTTTTTTTCCTGCACATTTTTCAATCCTTTTTCCTTCTAGATTCCTCTACATTTTGCTATTTCATGTAAATTTGGTTCCTCCACTATATATGACATATATGAGTAGAAATATATTTTTTAATTAGCTAAAAATTAAAAAAAAAAGTTTCCGAAGTCTAAATCACATATATCCCTATGGATACTGATTCACATATAATCAGGGGAAGCAGATGCTCTTTAACTTCTTTTCAGGTGGTTCCCAAGAGTTTGAGGGCACACACTAGGGATGCATTCAGGGGTCTCAGAGGCACTGATGCAAATCTGAAGTAGGGCAGGACTGTTAAATCATGTGCTTGTCCATAACCCAAAGATCTTTTACTTAGTCCCATGGAAATGTTGTGACCCGTGGTTTTACACTGCCAATTTCCTAAAAGATAAACAACATCCTAAAAGATACCAACATCACACAGAAAGCAGAATATCATGAGACAGTCATGGTAAGTGATCTCTTACCATGGGGTGAGGTGCTCTCTGTGGGTGTGTGTCTCTTTTCATGGCTACTGGGAGAGCCAAATCATGTGTTCAAACTGGCCACCTAACTTTTCATAAAACAGATGAGTCCACCTTAGTCCCATCTGATTTCAGTCACAGTCGTACTGCTCTGGAGCAACACCGAAAAAATTGCCCCAAATGAACGTACCTGCCATTGCTCCAGATGCTCTTCCAAATCATGCCTCTTCTCAGTAGCCTGAGCTGGATTTGGTGTTCCTCTGGATTCAAGGTGCCCTCCTTCTTCCTTCGAGGGACACTCAGCTGGGCATTCTTCACTGTCCCTGCTGGTTTTTACTGGGACAGAGCTGATCTCATGGTGGTCAGGTCCAGCCCTTTTCCCTTGCAAACAGCCCTGCTGCACCCGCCTCTCCTGAGGTTTTCCTCCCCTCCAACATGCACTCACACATACACACACAACTTCACCAATTCCAGCAAAAATCAAACTGAGGAAAAACTAAAATTAGACTGAGTTGCTTGGTACCACCAAGATAAATGTATCAGAACACAACTTGTGTTTCAGCTGAGCAGAATTTTGTTTGGCACAACTAACAGAACTTACCCATTTCCTCTTTGCTTTTCAATTTAGTTATTCGATCAGGCAGCACCATCAGAAGAACAAAAGCAATTTCTTTTCTACGCAATTTCTTATTTTCTGGATTAGATGTATAATAATAACTAAAACCACCTAAAAATTGCATATGTTTCCCTTTTACAGGCAAAGCTAAAGACAATAAAAAAGCAGGGACATAGTAATATTCATTGTTTTATTGTATCCTTTTATGATACTGACTAGAACGCCAGATTTAATAATATTGGATGCAGGTATAAAAATAATCCAATCCTTAAAAATTATATTTTGCTACTACAGTACTGTATAATTAGTGGAGGCTGAAATTATGATACAACTTTAAATAATACTGGTTTGGAAAACATCCTCAGAACCCCAGAGACTTGGAAGCAAACACTCAGAGACAGAGGGAAGGGAGTGGAGCAATGTCAAGAACATAAAGCAGGTTTACATTCAGGTTGTAAAGAAGCACAAACAAATGCTGAAAATTTATCTTTTGGAAGAGAGTTCATAAAAGGTGAGCTTTACTACTGCAGTTCTAAAAGCTGCTTAAATAAATCATTATGATTTTACACACCAAGTTTCACCTTTTACTAGGAGAAAGTCCTGTAGAATTTAATGGGTTTAAAGCAAATAACTGAGTTTAACAGAATTTCCTTTAAAAAATAAAGGTAGTAAATATTTACCCTGTTCAGCTTCTTTTTTTTTTCTTTAAAGTAAACCCATCCTAGCAGATTTTATTGAAGACTTTTTATGTCCAGCCATATTCAAGAGAAGTGATCAGTGTATTCCACAGGACTTTTCCATACAGGATTTTGCTCATCTGGGGGCTGCCTGCTGCAGTCATTAACCCAAGTAGGACTCCCATCTCTTCTAGCATTTCATTGAAATAGAGACTGAGTGATTTAGCATTTCAATACCACTTTGGAGGAACATCAGGTACCCTTGCTAGGTGTTCCCTCAACAAGGATATTATGCAACACAGACTAGACACAGAAGAGGTGTCATCCCACACTTGATCTCACAGTACTGAAGTCACACTTCTGCAAAATAAGTAAGTATATTTTTTTTTTTTTAAATTTTGGTACTTCTTTCTCCTTCATGAATTTCTCTCCTGCTTTTCAATTTCAGCAGCTCAAGAGAATGAAGAATTAAATGGGAATTGAAAAGGTCCCAAACTCTTACAAGCACAGGACATACCCCTTCTGAAACCAGGAGATCTTGCTTAATTTCTAAAGGGACAGGCAAGAGTGATCTGCAGAGCAGCTGATATGTGTGACAGCAGGAAGCTTCTCTACATCCCTAGATATTACATGACAGGAAAGAGGCTGGCTGACCTGTAAAACAACTACACAAAATTCACATTCACTCTCTTCGCAGGAAACTGTTTCCAATCTTGAAGCTGCTTTGTTCATAACATAGGTCCTGTTACAGTAATAAGGATGCTTAAAAAAAAGAAATAGATGCAACATGGAAAGGCAGGAACAGTATCACAGAAATAGGAAGACAGAGCCATGGGAAAGCATGTACTACAGGCAGGTGATCCTGGTGGTGGAGTAATTCAGGCCTAAAAAAACCTTCTTTGCAGTCCATGGGAGAGTTACCCCAGTCACTGTAGGGATGCTGGATTGCATCCTTTGTGTGTGAAGATGAAAAAGCATTAGTCAGCATAGGAAGAGCATTTAACTAAAATGCATCTGTTCTTGCTAATTTAAGGAAGAAAGCTAAAGATTACTATTAGGGAATGAAAATTCCAGCTGGATTTGGAATAGATATAGCCATTGACCAGCATCAGAGACAAGTCCTTGGGAAAGCAACTTGGTGTATCTGCAGCAGTGTCCAAACCCATTCTGTGCTCACTCAGGTCCCAGCAAACAACCTGTACAAGCATTGGCGCAAACTATTTCACAATGATAAATACGTCTCTCTAACTGCAATTTATTGCTATTTTTAAAGCCTTTTACTACCCTGCAGCGTGGAGGCAGATAACTTTCATAGAGCTGCTCATGAGCAGTAACTCAGTACATGACTGTGCCAGTGGGTCTTATGGGAAATGCCATGGGAGCAATGAGATTCATTGCTGCTATAAAACCTAATGCTTCCAGAATGGAGGAAAACCTGGCCCACTTTTTCCACTTATAGCCCAATTCAGTGCTGTGAGGTTTCAAAATTATGAAAAAACATCCCTGATTTCCCCAGTGCAGCTGGAAGGACTGGCCAGGGCAAGAGCAGGACACAGGAAGACTGTATGTTCAAGATGCCCTTTGAAAGATTCCTCAAATCTGTGTTTTGCTGATCAGTTCACTGGGACTGCCTCTCCTATGCTGACTGTCAGGGGTATTTTTGTGGGTAAAGCATTTTGTCAGTATAACTGGCAGAGCACCACAGCAGCAAACACATGCCTCTCACAACTTTTCCTGCCAAGCAACAGAATTAGCATTTTTTCCCAAATTAATTAAATATACACCCACACAACTGCCCATGGGTCATTGCTGACTGCTCCCCTCCCTTTCCACAGCAGCCAGGAGCAATAGCAGATTTATGAGCAGTGTTGGTGTAGTTTTTCTTCCTTTCCCCACATCTGGCTGAACCACTTGCATTCTCCATACCAAAAACATGCCACTTCCCTCCTATTCTCTCACATAGTAGAGTGATTCCCCTTGGCAAAAACATCCAGTGTGCTCAAAATTTTCAGTTTGGAGTAGCTAGAAGTAATCTAAAAGTGAGACGAGAAATAAGCTGCATGTATTTAGACATCCTACAGGGAGTTAGGCTGTGAACAGAGAAGCATCTGATTTTGAAAGTGGGCTTGAGGGCACATAGAGACCCTTCCTATACCCAAGAGGAGTAACAAGCCCCACTCCACTGCCAAAGGGCACTTTGTTCATGGCAGACACAGAGAGGATCCTGGTGGCAGCTTTACACAGGGACAACCTGCACTGAAACACTGCCCACATCCCTGCTGCGGCTGGGCGAGTCGGTACTGCTGGGGTGAGGCAGCGAACACTGCAGTAAAATAACCATCAAAAACTGTGACACAGCACAGTGCACTGCACCCACCCCTGATGTCCCAGGAGAGCGGAGCTGGCAGTGGGTGGTGCTGAAGACAAGCACTGCAGCACAGGTTGCAGCTGGGCTGGTGGAAACCCAGGGGCTGAATCACCCCAGGCTGCCTCTGTCACCTTCCCAAAAGCTTCCTGGAACACTCTGGGGGAAAGCACCTGCACTCATCTGGGTGCTGACTCCTCCTGCCTAAACCCCTCCCTTGCCTGCTGGGCAGGGCTTCCTAAGACACCCAGAGAAGGTGTGGCAGGTCAGGAGAGACCCTTTTCCTCCTCCTCCTCCTGTGGACTATGCCTTGGCTCTGAGACTCCTTTCTTATCCAAATAGGTCAGGCTGTGATGGATAAACCCTCATAAGAAATGCCCCAACGTTTACCTGCATTGGCAGAGAGTAAATTTCAGTGCAATAACACTCTTTCAGAAAATTCCAAGTTTTGCAGTCCTCACTCAGAAAATCTTGCTGGATTTACTGAGACTCTTTCTCTCCAGATACAATTCAAGAAGAATTTGAAGACCATTAAGGTATGCTTTCATTAGAAATAGCCCTATCTCAATTCCACCCAAATCCCTTGCAATTTGCAGTGTGCTGGGAAATAGAGACCAGAAGTTTTGCTCATATATTCTTTGTGCAGAAGGACTGGTCTGCAGTTTTGATTTGGTGTGCCATACTTTGTCCTTTGTACTTGACACGCAGAAGTTCATCTCCTAGCCTTTGAACTAACCAAGCAGGTAAACATCTTTGCCTATAAGCACAGGCCTAAATGCTTTCCCATCTGAGGAAATGCTGGCACATGGGTAAATCATGGGATTCTCGTCACTGCTGGGACACCTTCTTATCACAAGCTGCTTTACTCAAAATGGACAAAGTCCAGTGCTTGTCTATAGGCTTTGGATTTATATTTAGCATGAATTGCATCTTCTTTTCTTTTGTAACAAAAACATATCTCTGCTCCATACCAGGGGAAAGGCAGTCCTTTCTGTCCTGGATGAAAACTCTGATCAGCATGGCAGGGAACATCTAATTCTTGTGCTTTACCTGTTGTAATATCTTGGACACTAAGTAGAGCCTTCCTTAAATACAGCTCCTTGGGCATCTGTACTTCCCATGAGCATCCATTCCTTTCCCCCTACACCTGAGATCAGCTGTGCACTACCAGCTGCCAGGCTGATTATGGATCAGACAGGTGTGAAGTTGGATGCATTGTCACCGAAAGTTCACGTAAGTGCAAAGGATCCTGCCCTTGGCATCCATAAAGCTGTGTTTCTCTGCAAGCTCACACTGCTGCTTCTACACAGAAGACAAGAGGTGAGGCATAAAAAAGACACTGTGTTTGTGTGCTGTGGCTGGTGCACTGAACTATGCCTTCTCAAGCACATCTGTGGCACCTTTCCTGTCTTGAAGTTTTGAGAAAACAGAAGCAACTGTGAGCAAGGACCAGAAACCTCTAAGCCAACACAGCTTATAATTGCCTGTTGCTGTCTCACTTCCCTCTGTATACCGGTTACTGACCTTTGGTAAGGAACACAACAGCCTTTAAAGTGCTGGGAAAGGATCTGGGAACTCACACCATCTGTAGGATGCAAGTACCTGCTCCCTGACGGAGAGCTCCTCATCACCCCAGGTTTGCCTCCAGTGAGCAGCCACACAACACATGAGCATCTGAACTGGGGCTAGGCACTTTGGGGGATGCACCCCACTATCCTCAGTGCTTCAGTGAGCTGACCTACCTATGAACTTAGTTGTAGGCACTGTGTCTTTTAAAGCATGGTGGGGGAGAAGGGAATATCATCTTATGTACACACTACAGATTCAGTGAGTTAGTGACGAAGGAACTGGGCTATTTGTTATCCTTACACAAGCAGCCAACTTGAATTAAAAGCACATTCACATTCAAGAGGAGAAACTGCATCTAGACCTTGTATCTAAACAGGCTTTGGATGACTCAGATTAACAGTGCAGTAAAGATAAGTGGTAAATATACTTCATGATATTTAATTATATTTCCCGCATGTGATCCAGAGCAATCTCCAGCACAAATGCAGGCTGTTGGAGAACAGAAACTAGCCCTGAGGACTTGGGGTGTTGGTTGGTGAGAAGCTAAACATGACCCAGCAATGTGCTCTCACAGCCCAGAAAGCCAGCTGTGCCCTGGGCAGCACCAGAACCAGGGTGGGGAGGGAATTCTCTCCCTCTGCTCTGCTCTCCTGAGAGCCCACCTGCAGTGCTGTGCTCAGTGGTGCCATCAGAAGAAATGAGGCCACAAAGGTGGTCAGAGGCTGGAGCACCTCTCCTATGAAGACAGTCTGAGAAAGTTGGGGCTGTTCAGCCTGGAGAAGAGTAGGCTCCAAGGAGATCTTGGACCACCTTCCAGTAACTAAAGGAGGCCTACAAGAAAGCTGGAGAGGGACTTTTCGCAAGGGCGTGTAGGGATAGGACAAGGGAAATTATTTTAAAGCAAAGAAGGTAGATTTGGATTAGTTACAAGAAAGAAATTCTTCATGATGAGAATGGTGAGGCACTGAAACAGGCTGGCCAGAGAAGTTACCCAATCCCTGCAAGTGTTCAAAGCCAGGCTGGATGGGGCTTTAAGAAACCTGGTCTAGTGGAAGGTGTCCCTGCTTATGGCAGAGGAGTTGGAAAAAAATTATCTGCAAGATCCGTTCCAACTCAACCCATTCCAGGGTTCTGTGATTAGTAAGATCTCTTTCCACACTCACTCTAGGTCAGAATACAGTCCATGAAATTCAACCTGGTCTTTGGTGAGAAATGCAATAACTTACATTCTTCAGCTTCTGCTAATAGGAACGAACACACCTGGGTGAGGAAACTTGCCTGGTCTGAATCACTCGAAACTAAGATGGAAGAAAGAAAAACACTTCAACATAAGTGATCTTTGCTATGCTAGGATTGCAAGCATCATGTTTTTCTCTTCCTTGAATGCAACTGACTGTGGCAAGCCCTCTTTTCCAAGGCACTGAAAGCCTCCACAGCGCCTACAAATTCAAGGTGGACTCTGGGGGCTTGAAAATATATCCCACCTTCAGTGCCCAGAATTCAGGTTCCTCTGCCCAGCCAAGGCTACAGCATTATTACTCCTTCAGAGATTCCTCATAAAAAGCATTCTGAATTACCAGCTCATCTTCTTCTTCCCCATGAGGAATTATTTAATATTATATTGCTGTGTCTACAGGCATTTAAATCCTTGCAGGGAAACAGAGCCCCAAAGGATCCCATATGGAAGCATCATGATGGTGTGTAGTGGCACCACTTCTGAACAATTTGGTTGACAAAACAACAACATTCCCTACATACAGACGGTTTTCAAAGCAGCACAGAGGAACAACTGTGCCTTTTTTCTGTTAAAATTGCAGTGGTGTGACTGACTGTCCTGCACTGGGAGACAATCAACCCATTAATTCAGCCAATATTGCCAGACACCTGGCTTTGGCAAGGACCCAGAAATCTGGAGAACTTTTACCAGTACGAAGGTGAGGGCCAGAACACAAGCCAGCTTCCCTGTCCTGCTTGAAGCCGACAACAGCAAGGCAGTGGTCTAAAAGGGACTGGACAAACTTGCCTGACCAAAAGCAATTGCACAGTGAATCTTTGCATGAAGGGTGGCTAGGAAGACAAGCACAGTCAACAGTGAACGAGATCTGTAAACAAGACACTCCCCAGTGGTATTCAATGCAGAGTGCTGGGCACAGTTCTTCTGCCTGTACTGATCCATGCTTGCCCGTGTAGCGCGAAGAGTGAAGAATGAATAAGGAGTACACATGTTAGCTTCCCACTGGGTCTTTTAGTGATGTGCTTCTTGAGCCATTCCCTCCTCTTCCTCCTCCTCTCTGATGCTCAGCAACTGTGACTGTCCCTCAGGGCAGCAATGCTCAGCATGAAGTTCAAAGTCCTTCCTATTAAATGGGAAGAGTAAGATTGATGTGGCCTCAACTACCCAGGAGACAGATTGCACCTGGGAATTAAGGGCCACACAACTGTGTCAATCTTCCACTCCCTCTCCACTCTTTGCTAAAAATAGTCTCTTCTTCTGGTTTCATCACTGATGAAGGATGGATTGTATTGTCCAGGGTAGATGCACGAATGTCGAGATCCAGGCAAACCAGTGTAGGGAGGATAAAGTCCATTTCTTTCCAGTTCAGGATTTCTCAGTCCAGTTGGCTGTATTAGCAAAAAAAAAAATCAAATAAAAAAAGGTCTTATTCTCACACTCAAATCCTTCTTCAGGCACAGCCTTACCACATATCTTTGCTGTTGGTTCAGTAGCTAGAAGGAACAATGGGATCTCTAATGATCTCTATAATCTAGAACAATTTTTGCCTGAAGGGATTATTATGATGAAATCTAATTTCAACATCTGGCCAATGAACAGACTTGGAGCTTACCTGACTCTTCCAAGTGTGGTCTAAGTATACAGTTAATTTTTAATTAAAAAAAAAAATTCTACTGCTGAGCTCAGGTATTGAAACAACTCTCATTAAAAGGATATCATTCCAGAGCCATCCTTAAAGGAGACAATTATAGAAAATCAAAGGTAGTCTCCTGCTTTGAGTATTACCTGGGCACTTCTCTCGCCTTTAACCATAGGTACTTCCTCTCCCAACACAGGCCCTTGAATTGTATGTCAAATACAAAACAATCTGACCTTCCTTTCTCTCCCCTTCTTGTAACTAAGTAAGGCTCCTGAGGACAACACTTGGAGGAACACTGATGTCTAAGATCAAGTCTGTACAATCCTTTCACCCAGTGAATAACATGAAGCCTCTTGGTTTAATCTGTTACAGAGCAGATCCATGCAAAACCCTCATCACCTATTGCTTGCTAAAAAGTTTCAGTTTCTAGTTCCCAGCATAATGAGAGTCTTTATTTAGTCAAAAAAATTAGGAAATGCATTTTCATTTCAAATATCTCATTCTTATTGGAAGCATGAAGGAGAATTGTTTGACTCCTCGCTGTGCAACCCAGTAAATTTTCTCACTGAAAAACTTAAAATATAAGCCAGGAAAATAGTAATCCTCTCTGTTCTCTGCTCTGGAAAGCAAGGAGACCAGAATGTGTGATTTGGGTGAAATCCTGCAGCTTTCACTCTCATGAGTAACCCACACACACCTTAAGTACATGCTGAAAATGAGTGACAGATGATACAGCAGCACCACAGCTCTGGATACAGCCATTAGCAGATGGTACCAACCATGACATAACAGCTTGTGCCTTTCTGTGCCCTACACACCCTATTACTCCTTATTCCCTCAGAGCTGAAGGGATGCTCCTTATGTACCCTGGAGAGGGAAGGAATGGAGGAAAAGAGGGGTCCTCAGTTACCACCATCTTCCTATTCTGGGGAAAAGTTCCCCAGACAGAGGTTTCAACTCCTAATGACATCTCTTGTGATATTCACCACAAGTAATAGCTAGAGCCCATAGGACTCCTAATGCCTTGCTATGGAAGACATTTGCTTTGCCCTTTTATCTTGCAGGAAAGGGATCTGCACTTCCAAAAATAAAGGAACATCTCTTTCCTGTGTGAGGCACAAAGGGTTAAAAATTAATCTATGGATAGATACCGAATAATACACATCTGTCATCTGCAACAGGTTCTTGGTGCTTCCATTCTCCTGCATCTCGATGGTCTCTCTGCCCCACTCCTGTGCCCGGGGATTCTTCGGATATTCAGCATAAGGTGACATCTGGAAATCCCCACTCTTGAAAATCAGTTTACTTATGTCATTTTTATTCTTCCTGTTTATAAAAGAATGAGGGAAAGTGAAAACTTACAACTTATCCTGCTGTCTTGTATACACTTCTGGCATGATCTCAGGAGAGATCATGACTTGATGTCACGAATCTTGACTGGGAACAAAGATCACCTCAGAAGGATTATAGCCCAGCCATCTGCTCTGAAGCCAAGTCAGATATGAAATCAGATCATGCAACTCAGGCCATTATCTGGTGGGCTTTGGAATCTCCAAAGTTACATGGCAACCTCCCTGAGCAACTTGTTCCACTGCCTTACTGCTTCTGTGGTGAAATAATTTTTCCCTACATTCAGTCTGAAACCCTCTTGTTCCAGCTATGCCCCTTGTCTCTTAAAAACATGTGTGTCCATCTAAGTCAATGAAAAAATCATGGAAATTGAGGAAGAAAAACATATAGGAGCCCCCATGCTATTAACTATAGCACTTGTTAATTCCTAATTAATTTAGGAACATTAATTCCTAAGAAGGAAGACTTGCAAGGAGCTGGCCTGAGTGACACCAAATGTCCCTCCAGGACTGTAATGGTTAATGAGTGGACTTTGGTGGACACTTCCAGTTCAAAGCAGAGTATCCTCCAGGAAGTCACATAAGCTGCACAAGGCCAAGACTCACGAGAAGATCAGCCACCCCTGTGGAGATCTGCACTCTGGGCACCTCCTCTCCTGGCTGGAGTTTGCTGGCATCCCCCTGGCTGGAAATATGGGGTAAGAGGGGCACAACCAAACCACTGCCACATCTATATTACTGACAAATCCAGCTGCCAGCTTTATCAGACAGCTTTGAAATCCTAGATTTGGGGACTGGAATAGCGGGGAGAGGGTGTTACTGCAAGGCATCCCTTTTCAGATTACATGAATCAGGAAATAGAGCTTCCTAGGCAAGCACATCTTATCCAAAGCCACCTGCTGGTATGGGAATGAGGTGTGTGTGAGTGTGAGTGTGTGTGTGAGAGGGAGAGAGACACAGAGTGAGAGCACATGCAGGACTTGGTCATAAAGGTGAATGAAAATAGCCTTAAATCCACTCAAACACCACTTGAGCAACAGCAAGTAACCTCTCCTGTTGCCTAAACTGCTCCTTTCTACTTAGCTTGCACTTTTGGAGTCTGCTTCCTGGCTTCAGAGCCTTACAGCTCTGTGTGGGTAGGACTCCCCTGCCTCTCCATCCTTAGAGGACATGATTTCCAGATGTACCTTTAAGAGACCCCCAGTCCATTGTTTAGCCTAGCTGCTGGGGAAAAAAAATTTAAAAATTCTCCAAATGAAAGCACAGTGCGATACATCAGTATATCTGATAAACCCACTTGCTTAGCCTATGCTTTCACCTACGTTTTGGTCCTTAGCTATGCTATGTTTTATTCCTTAGGAGCTCACACGGGGAGCTCTGGGTGTGGTGCAATCCACGGGGAGGGCAGCGGTACCTACCGGCAGCAGGTGACAATCAGTGCTATGCCCATGATCAGCAGCAGTCCCCCTCCTGCAGCTGCAATCACCACCGTGATGAGCTGATACGCTGCAGACAGGAGAGACAGAGGCTGAGAAACAGCAGTGTGGTTTTAAACCCCAGTGTAACATGTCCACAGTCCCCTTGCAAAGGGATTAGCTTCTTATTTCCCACCTTCCCCCCTCCCCATAAGCAATATAGCCTTAAGTTTTCAAGTGAAATAGAAACAAGTTCTTGTTTCCCTAAGGAATAGATTCCCTTCACTGATAGATCAGAGTAACTCAAATGGATTCACCTTCAAATACCTTGCTTCAAGAATGCCCACTACATGTGCTGTCCTGACAGACTATACAGGGAAAGGAGATCCCCTTTCCTTAGATGACATTAAGTCAGCTTTGACAAAGGTCCACAAAATGACTTTTAAAGGAAAATGAAAGAAAAAAAAGCACTGAAAATAGTAGCGTGTACCTACTGCATTTTAGACACAGTCACTTGCAATTATTTGTTTCAAATCTCCTACTTCTGACACTGCAGAAAATGAAAGAAATGAAACTTGGTACTCACGGTTTCCACAGTTGAATCCACCCAAGCCAAAGGGGCAGCTGGGAACAGAGAACAACAGGGAGTTTCAGCAGCTCAGTTGTGCCAACAGGTCACCAGAGCAAGGATGGTGGGGTGGGAGGAGGGCAGAACAGTCACCATACCTCACACAGGTCTCGTTTTCCAGCTTATATCCATCTTCACAGGCTGAAAGCAGAGAGAAGGGCCGTGAGCACCGCGCAGTGGAGCCGGCAGGGATTTCCCAGCGCCGCTTCCACGGCAGCCTCAGCTCCACCGGCCCGGGCTGCACGGCAGGAATGCCGTGCGCTTGGACGGGCGGCTGGATGTGCTCTGCTTTGGGGAAAACATCGTGCACTAAAGGTGAATAAGGTAAATAAATCCTGCTGGCTTTAATGGAACCATTTCAGGGCTTCCAAGAGGAGCCAGTGTGGAGCCTGGCACAGGGAGAGCTGCTGGAAATGTCATTCCCAGCAGAGCTTCTTGCCCAAATGAAAACTCACTGCACACTCACTTCACACAAAATAGCAATGTAAAAAAAAAACGTGGAAGTGCCTCCAGTTTTCATTTTTAAAGCCCACTTAAACTATGCTGCTTTAGCATTGGTGCATGTTATTAATTATATTTAGATGTTAGTACTGCAACAAGAGTTATGCAAACACAGTCAGGGTAACCCAAAGTGGGATGCTAATGTTTGGTTTTTTTCTCATGTCACCTTTTTTCTGATTTTTCAAATTTGCAGCTAAATCAAATTTTGAGATATCATATTTTACTATGCAATGAAAATTGAATTTATTAGGTCTAAATAATCCAGAAAACTGCTATGTGCAAAATGTTGGTGAAAAACTGGAACCATCACTTCAAAATAAAAAAAATTTCCATGCTTATGGACAGCAATCCTAAATTATCTGAGGACACTACCCTTCTGATGAACAGCAAAGGGGATGATACACTGGACACACAACTATAAGGTTCAAATTACTGATAAGATCACTGCTTTTCTCAACAACAGTCCCACCAGAGCACTGGCAGATCTGCTGCCTTTCACAGAGGCAGTGAAGGTGGTCACTCAAAGGCCTGGGCAGCAGTGACACAGACAGAGTCACTTTGGGCAGAGGGACAAGCCAGGGCTAGCACAGGCAGCAGCCCTTGGGCGTCTGCAAGACGTCACCTGAGGGTCTGGTAAAATCCTGTAGCACATTCCACTGGGAATTGTTCAATGAAAACAAAAATGCTCATGGATTTTTTTCCCCCATCAAACATTTTTGCTTAAAACTGTCACAGAATTTCCCTAAATTTAATTCCAGTTTCAAATCAAATAGCTGGACTGGAGCTACATTTTAAAGAAACACGCAAGACTGATTTTAATATTTTCAGTGACAGACAATCAACCACAGCACTGCGTCAGAAGCTCACAAAGTTAATTTTCCTCAGCCATTAAAAACATTCACCTTCTTTCTGGTCTGAATTACCCCAGTGTCAAATTCCAGACTTTGGATGTTTACTTACTAGATTGGAAAATGTTATATGATCAGATTTCTCCTCCTCACCACCAAACCACTCCTTTATCTTTAATAAAGCCAAGGCCACTGAGATCTTTGAGTCTCCCTAATTACTGCAGCTTTTCTCTCAACACTCACAGGTTCTCTTTGACCCTTTTCATTTCTAGTTCCCAGAAATAGATGTTGCAAGCCCAGGGATAACAAAATTTCCCATCTTCTGCCTACCTCACATCCTCAGGATGTGTGGGCACAGAAGACTGCTGCACTCACACCACTTCTGTGGCTGTAGGCACAGCCTTGCTGTAGCAAGTGGCACCAATGATGGTGGGGGCTGATGCCCATGATACCTGGTCTTGCACACCTTTCTTTGCCCTATGCAGCCCCACTACTCCTCCACCACCTCCCTCATTCTGTTCATTTTTCCAGAGCTGGGGATGGGGAAGGTGAAGCTCATTACACAGCCCCCCTACTGCATCACACTGTGATGCTTTTTGTATTAGATGTATTTTTCTCCCTCTAAGATGATTTCTTTGAAGTAAAGGAAGAGACCAGAGGTAACTGTGAAAGAGTTCAGAGCCCCAGTCAGCAAACAGCCAGGGCAAGGATAGCAAATCCCAAAGAATCCTTGCCTGGCTCATTCATCTCACCGGGGCATTGGCTAAAGGAGACTGGATGGGTTGCTCCTTTCACCTAACAAAAGCAGGCTGAAAACATCATGGAGTGAACATTCCACCACAGGACTGGGCAGTAACAAAGTGTGCAGTGGAAGGGAGGGAGGATCCACCTCACAGCTCACTAGAGATACCTTCTCTAATGAGCACAGCAGCCCTGTGCATCCCAGCTCCAGCCCGGCACCTGCACGTTGGGAAGGCTGCAGGGGCAGGCAGACACGTGCTGGAGCCCACCCTAAGCTCAGCAATGTGTGAGGCACAAACACCTAGAGCAGTTTGAAAGCTGGAGCTGTGCCATGAGCAGGAGCAGCCCTGGGACCTCGCTGGCACGCAGCTCTCAGGTCAGGAGGATGCAGGAGCAGAAAAGAGAAAAATCAAGATCCTGAATATGTATTTCTCTGTCTTACTTAAAACCTTGGTGCTTATGTATTTTCCTCTCCTCCCTGTGTCTTTTCCTGCCACTTTGCTTTCTCCTTTGGCATCTTTGCTGCTCCTTTGAAGATGATCCCGGGAGAGCTCTCACTGTCACACTCACTTGGCAAGATTACAAACACAAGCAGGGGATAGAGGAAAGGCCTAAGTGTCAGGGGTCAAGCAAAGCTGTTGAGTTGTGCTCTTCAACCTAGGATTCCTTTGCCTTCCCAAAAGACACTCAGGGGTCTCTTTGGAAACCTGCTTTGCTGCTCCTTGCTTCACTCCAGAAACACTCTGTACTAGTAAAAATAGCATGCCCTTGAAAAGCTGGAACATCAGGTTTGCTGCTCTGTTACTGAAATAGCCCTGAAGATACTGACAAGGCTAAAAATCAGCAGAGACACAGAGACACTGAACAGCACAGCAAGAGGTACCCTGGCCAACAAGTTGGACCTCCTGTGGCTCAGAGACCCAAGCCTTCCCCGGCCCATGGCATCTTTCCCAAGCATGTCCCTGAGGACAGATGCTGCAAGGAGGACAGAACAAATCCTGTGGGTCAGGGCAGCCAATTCTCCCAGCCTTCCCACGGGGGAGACCGGACAGGGCAGCACAATAGCCATTTCCCTCTTTGCAAATACTATAATTGGAGCTACTAGACCACATTTTCACAGCCCACAATGAGGGTCGGATGCTCACGAGACCTTGGTTCCTGTTTAGGCACTAAAAGGGCAGAGGTTTTCAAAGAGGCTGGTATATTGTATGCTATATTTATCAGCAAAATAGCTCTGAATATCAAAATGGGGGCCCATAGCTTGGCTTGTGGAAAAGCCTTTAAAAATCCCAACCACCTGGCTTGCCCAGATGGGCACAAGTGATAATGAAAATCAACACCAGCCCTGTCCCTCAGACACTCTCAAGGTGATCATTAAGATGTTTCCTACTGACAGCAGTGAGATGAAGGTTGAAGGAATGATGAAGATGAAGGAATTGAGGCCTCACTGTTTACAGGTATGGTTTTTATATTTTCCACAGCAAACAAGTTTCCTAAGTATGGAGTAATCATATGTAGAAGGTCTCAGATCTCTTAGCCCTCTGCAGCCATCACACCCACAGCCTCACAGCCTTTCAGGTATTTGTCTTCGCTGCTTGGCACAAGACATGAACAAGACAAATGGAGTAACTTTCCCTGGGTCTCCACTGTCCATGATGGAACAAGAACTGGGTAAAAACCTCTCAAGTTTCAGCTCAGCTCCTCACTCACTACATAAGCCCCTCTCTGACTCTCTAGGGTTGGTGGAGATGCTCAATATTTCCCAAAAGAAATCCTTCCTCCAACATACAAGCTGAGGGGAAGGGAGGAAAACACAAAGGGAAAGGTTTTGTCACAAAGGAGCCACAGAGTGAAGGAGAGGCAGGGCCATGACCTGGCAAGCAGAGGTGCCCATCTCTGAGCTGTCCCTCCCAGAGTCTGTAGCACATGAGTTATTTCCAGGCACATTTTTCTCACTCTGATTTGGAACCGACAAAACATCTCCACCTATTTCAAGAGCAACCCAGCAGGCAGTGCCAGAAGCAATATATTACCACTACTGCAATTGTTATTGATATGTCATCAGAAAAGCCTTACAGCAACCACAAACTAGGGAATGGACACCCTGATCCTCCAGAATCATGCACTGGCATGTAAAGACTTTGCTTAAAATGCAGCAAAACCAGATTTGTTGATCTAAAGAGTAGCTAAAAAATAACACAATCTTTAAGCTTAAAATTTCTATTTGGAGCCCCCTGAAAAATAAATTCATAATCATTTTCAGATACAAAATTTTAAAATACTGATGATATATTAATATAAGCTTTTGAGTTTAAAGCACTTTCCCTAAGTTCATTGAGAGTTCAGACAAAATCAAAACAGGCACAGACACACGTCATCTCTGCCCTGTGCCACTGAACTGGAGCCCAAAGCAGCCAGGCCCCTTTCTCCCTCTCCTCAGTCACTGTGACTCTCAGCATGCTCCAGAAAGAGATAATATTATTCCTAGAGAGAGACTGTGTCTTCAGTGTCTGCTGAAAAGCCCCCTAACTAAATACAAGAAACTTGAGCTGCTAATATTTATTCATAATATTGAGGGTTTTGCATGCAGAGCACTACATGCACACACTCATTTCCACTGGAACAAAAACTTAGAGGAAAATTCAGGCAAAGTACACCACACAAAGAGCAATACCTCTGCAGGAGTGGTCCATCTTGTTGTATTTGAAGTACCCACTTTTGCACTGGCAGAGAGCGACCCCATCAAAGTCGGTGCATTCTGAAGTTTCCTTGTCACATTCAGGGTCCTTCTGTCTGCACAAGCTGCCAGCTGTTGGGAAGAGGTGGCCAACATCAGCATGATTCTCTCTGAAACCACCATTATGCACATTTGCTTTCCTTAGGCATCCCATTCTGCTGATGTGCTGCTTTAATCTCTTTTTTTTTTTTTCAGTAATATTTGTTCCATTAGGAGGGAGTCAACATTACCCTATCTACCATCATTTGTACAGGCAAATAGAGGGGGTGAATAATAAATGTTTCAGTTCAGAAGTAGAAGGGGAAATAAAAAAGAGAAATCTGGTTTGGCTCAAGCTCAAACACATTCATCCCCTGACACAGTTCAACAAATCAATTTTTAAGTTTATATCAAGCAAAAAAATTTTGCTTACACCAAACTAATTCTTTTCCATTTCAGTATTAAGCACTGGATTTTTTCATTTTTCAAACAAAAAAATTTGCACTTTAATTTACATTACTTTGAAGCAGTGTTTTAATTTAGAAAGTCAGACTTGTTACAATGAGCATTCATCAAAACTGTGGATAAATGATGGAAACTGTGACATCAAATTTACATTTTTACTGGAAGGTCAAACTAAATGGAATTAATAAATATTTGTGAGAAATAAGATTTTATGGAAAATATGTCACTCATTTGGCACTGTCCTTTTATAAACCTTTCCTTGCTAGATAATTTTTTTTTTATCTGACATCTTTTCTTTTAGGTACTTACACAAGGATATAATTTGTTTCTTACTCTGCTTATTTCAAGTTAGAAGTTGACTTTATAGAAGCATTGTATCAGAGGTAATGGGTAGGAATAATCCAAGCAGGTTTACCCAAATAATTTAAAGCAATCCATGGGTAGATTATGGCTTTAAATACAGCACACTGCAATAAAAGCACACACTGAACTTGTCATCTGCATGTTTACTTTGCCAAAATATTACTGGGGGTTTCCCACTAAACCCAGGCTAAGAGTTGCCACCCTTCACCCTCCTCGAGGCCAAACCTTAAAGCCTCGAACCCAAAAGTCACAAAACACCGCGTGCAGCAGTTTCCTTGTAGGAAACTCTTCCAGGGATCCTGAAGAGATCCTGTACCTCTCACAGATAAATCTCCTCCATCACTCCCGCAGGAAGTGAGAGCTGGGCGATGCCAGGGCACAGCACTGGGCTCCACCTGGAGAAGGTCACGCACAACACCGGCGTCCTTCTCCACATCTTTCTGTGCTGCATCCACATTGCCCTTGGGCAGATGGAGGATCCAGTACAGAAATCGCAATTCTCACTAACTGTGAGCCATTTTACAACCTGCAACACTGAAACTGGGCAGGCAGGAGAGCAGAGCTTGCCGTGCAGCCTCCAGCAGCTCTAATTGAGCTCAGCAGCAGGGTTTTGTCTCTTGGCTTTCACACCATTTCCCTGGCTCCCAGCTGCACGTGTGAAATTAAGAGTTACAGTTTTTTGATCTGGCTGGGCCCACTGTCACTTCCCAGAGATGAAAGGCTGCCCTACAACGTCTCTAACCCTGGGCTGCACAATATTTTCACAGAGAGGCAGATTTCTCACACATGTGGCAAAGATAAGGCTTGATATCTTCATTCCTTTTGGACTGGGAGGTTCTTAAGATGACTCCCATTTAAGTAAGATTAAAAGATACAGAGGGATTTTTCTAAATGACAAAACGTTGTCCCCCTTTTATTAAAGGAGCCAAATAAAACATCCCTTTCCCCTCCTGCCACAGTCCTTCCAGATGCTATTTACCTCTGTGGAGTGATTTCAGGCTTGATATGAACTGGCAGGCTTCAGTGGGGGATTTGCAAGCTTGAATGTAGCTTTTCACACTGCCGATAACATCGAAGAAAGTCACGTTGGATGCTAAAGAGAACGTGGATTGCACTGAGACATGGACAAAATTTGCCTCCCTAACAAAAAAACAAAACAAAACAAAACAAAACAAAACAGCCCTGAGTATCACAGGTCAGTTTGATGTCATCATTAGCACCTCATACATAGGAGTGCTATTAACACAAGAGATGCTTATCACAGACACAGCACTACATGCACTGTAACAGACCTTAAAACCAGGAATAACCACTACACAGAGAGGAGAATATGGAGCTGGAAGGGATGCTGGTAGCTCGCTTTGGAACCAGCCACAAATCCCTCTGGGGCAGGCCATCCCTAAGCTGCTCAGGACAGGAGGAGGGTACCAGGTGAGCCTGGCAAGCTGGTCAGGCATTCCTCATGCCCTGCACCACTGCCAGGCTGGATTGCATCAATCACTGACTCAAAATGGAGAGTGTGGCTCTCAAGCAGAAGATCCCAAATGCTCAAGTTTCTCATTCTTCCCCTGGTAGCCTTAGCCTTACCTGCTTGCCTTAACTGTGGAGTGGTGGTATCCTGGCAAGCCTGACAGCGATGCATTGAGCTGCAAGGAGGGAGAGAGCAGCTGTTAGTGCCCCAGGGCATGATGGAAGGAGGCAGTCCCATGGGATGTAGCATGGGACAGTCCTCCTGGGTCACTGACACCATCCCCTGTGTTTCCCAGAGATGTCTGCTGAGACCAAGGGGGCTCTGAGCGTCCCAGAGGTTCATCTGCTCTATAAGAGAGATGCACTGCCCTGATGTCAGTAAGGGGTGGACAAAGCCACCATTGCACAGCCTTGGACAAGAACAAAGCCCCAGGGATTTTGACATGAGCATCTGCCTGTGGCTCTGCCATGTAATGACCACAAAGGTCAGGGATGAGCCAGACGTCAGCAGGGAGAGAGCCCCGTGCAAGGCCAACCTCAAAGCAGCACCCTTGGAGACTGCAGATCTTCCCTGACCCTGGATCTGGGCAGCTGCTTGTATTTACTCCCCAGCACAAGCTGTGCAGGCAGCATCACAGTGACTCCACCCAGCACCTCCTTCCTTTCGCAGCATCTCCAAATCGCCTGCTCCCAAGAGCTGGAATGAAGTGCACCCATCCCACCAACCACTAACAAGATGAACTTGTGCACACAGTGATCTGGGTAAGAACTGCACAAGCATGTGCAGATGATCCCCAGCCCATGGGTCTTTTTGAGCTATTGATGACACAGCCTTTGGGGAAGCCAACAGCCTGTCCAGCACTGGCTCTCAGCCCACCAGGAGCACGTGGCTAACACTGAATGGCTGGGGTGAAATTATGAAATTGGGAAATGTGACAATCATAAGAGGAATGAAGGAGACTTGTCCCACCAGCATTGTCAAAGTCCCAGCAAGGACACTCACCACCTCCAGGATCTCCCTCTCAATGTGGAAGAGCTCTGTGTATTTCCCATGAGTGATATTAAGTTTCAGGGGAACCTGGCCAATAAATATTCTCGCTAAAAAGTAAAATAAGACAAGTTAGTTGGAACACATCTCTGTGCCACGTGCAGATGTGGCTTTATCTGCCTTACATGAGAGACTGTTTGCATGGAAAATCCCTTTTCAAGGCATACAGAAAACTCAGATCTGAGAGTCGCTGCCCCAATAAAGCAAAGTCACAGCCTTGGGTTTTTTTCCCAAGGGTTGCTGCAATGTTCCCACAGTTCCCACAGTGAAATTCCAGAGCTCAGTGCTGCTGAACAGACAGCATTTCACTTCAGTGCTCATACATTTCATGCAGAAACATAGACTAACTTAAATAGATCCCTGAACACAGAGAGAGATGGGTAAATTTAGTAAGAAGACAGTGTCAGGTACCAAAGCTATTTGTGATAGTTGGGGGTCAAATTATGTCAAATCTCTTATTCTTCCCTGTAATGGAAGGAAATCAAATCAGCAAGTCAAAATAAAACACTGTAGAAAGGACATTTTCATTTTTCAAACTGCTGGAGAGAATGAGCAATGACATTTGAAAAGAGGTCCAAAAGATGCATTTTTCTGTGCTTAGATTCATATTTGATTCACAGCAGCAGAATGCAATAATCAGAGTTGTACAGACTTGCAGAGATAATACCCCTAAATCTTGTATTAAGTGTCATGAGATACTCAGTGGAACTGAGAACTCAGAATTCCAGCTTTATGTTCCACCAGAAAAACAAATACAGTTGCAGATAACATTATAAAGTTCTCCAATTCCTTCCCATTTTTTTCCATCCACTGAACCTATCTTCACCACAAACTGTATATTAGACATTTCTGATGAAACAACTCCAGACAAAAATTAAGCCGAGAATCACCTTCACAGTGTTTATATAATCTGTCCATACTGCAGTTCAAGGCATAATCAAAACAAGTCTCTAAATTAGAAGCTGACATATTCCAACTTGAAGAAATATTCCAAAACACTCTTCAGGGACACCTCACCCATGTTTCCTTAGCAAAATTTCCATGCCTCTAATCCTCGGTGAATAAGGGTCAAAAGAAAATCTATGAAAACAATTTCCCCTTTACAATGGAATATTGTAAGTCCTTGACACTGAGAGTCCTCAAATAGAAAGGAAGGGGTCAGAACCTGAGTTCCAGCTAATAACTGTGCTGCTCAAGAAATGCTAAAGGTATGAAACAAGACCTTGATCTTACAAAGACTTTCACCATGGCTGCTTAACTTTCCACACATGGCTGATCCCACTGAAGCCAGGTTACACAACAGCCCCGCTCACTTCTCCCAAGCCAAGTGCCTTCACCAGAGTTTGCAGGGCTGATAAGCTGCTGAATGCTTTTTGGGAGTTTTAAGACACATCAGGTACAGGGGCACATCTGTCCTTACTAACAAGCCTGAGCCCACCACTCCCTTGCTGCGTTTTTAAGAAGAACTCAGATATCTCTGCCTGCTCCCCAGGCAGCCAAACACGACAGGCATTAGACACCACACTTGTATAAACACTAAAAGGCTCTGATAAAAGAGGTGGCTGGGAGGAACATTAAGCTCCTGAACTAGTTTGAGCCTAAGTCAATTTATTTTAGAAGATTAAAGATAATTATTTCCATCCCTGGTTTTTTGCTTTTGTTTTCTTACCTAAATTGCACTTTCCTTTTTCCAGCTCATATCCAAGAGGACACTGACAGATATAGGATCCATGGGTGTTGTTGCAGGTGGCCAGTGCAGGACAAGGGTTGGAAAGACATTTATCCACCTCTATAAAATTAAAAAAAAAAAAAAAAAAAAAAAAAAAAAAAAAAAAAAAAAAAAACCCAAAACAGGTTATACTTACAGAATCATAAAAATCATCAGCTGTTGGGCTAAAAGAGATGAACTTGGCTCCCCATCTGTGACTCCCTGAGCATTATCAGATGCTTCATTGCATCATTTGCACTTACTATTTATGCTGTTCCTAATTATTCTGTTGGAGCTGAAAGAATAAATATAAACCACTTGAATATTCATTCAAAAGCCCTTGAGGTCTAGCATGGATCCATGTTAATAGGAACATCCAACTGATCTATAGCACTGCTCATCAGTAAGATCTCAGGGTTCTTTCCAAAGACAAACAACCCAACAGTTTATGCATGAGAAGACCAAAAAAGGGACAACCTCAACAGTCCAAGTCAGACATGTGGGCATGGGCTGCTTCACCAAAGTCCTGCCCTTTTCATCCAAGCCCTGTTTCTCTGCTCCAAAGGTAGTGCTTGAGCACTGATCCAGTCTGTAGACTACCCAGTAATGGTGGAGGCAGCCCTGGCTGCAATCACCTCCTTCTCCAGAGCTCCTCCATGCCAGCCTGGGGATGGTCACAGCAGTGATTCCTGCCTGTGCCCCACTCCAGTGCCCTTCCTGCTGGGTGAGCAAGAGCCCAGGGAGCAGACACCACTGTGAGAATACAGTGTCTCAGGGCATTAAGGACTGTACTCTCAGATGCTTCACAGATTACACAACTAAAACTGCAAATTCTGAAAAATATATCCAATATTTCCTCTTGAAAAAAAAAAAAGGAAAAATGTGTCCTTGTCAAAAAGCCCCTCTTGCAGCATCTATGACTCACATGAGCACAAACACACATCACACACGCCCACAAGGACAGACCATAGGCAGGGCTGGGGACTTGTCACTGACAAGGCTCTACAAGACCAGCAAGACAACTTACACACCACTTGTACCTATCTTGTGGCTGCTGCTGAGTGCTGCAGCAGAGGCAGGAAGCACGGGCTTTGTGGTTAAAGCATGAAGCACAAGAGCCAAACCCATGTGTGCATTTCTGGTGGCACTGCAGTAACCCACAGCACCTCACAGACCTGACAGCTCCCAGCCAAACTCTGCCCTGGGACACACCACCTGATGAAATCTCATGGCTGGACTAGCCTGGCACTGCTACCTCAGCATCAGTGAGAAGCAGATTTGGTGACTCTAATCTAAGCAGCCAGAAATGAGTGGGTGTGATTTCAAACGATGGCTTTCACTTCACCATCCTTCAGTCTGTGCTTCATACAGCAGAGACCAGGGCAGCCACTCTCAGGGCAGTGAGTGACCATGTGCAAAGCACCATGTCCAAGACAGCAGAAGGATCTTTTGTATTCTGGTGAATGGAAAATCTTGGTTTTCAAAGGAAAGAATAATTTGGCAAAGTGTGAATCAGTTTTTAAAAAGGATGCATTATCTTAATTTTTCAATTATAAAAAAAATCATTCCAGTAAAGTAATTTTTTTTTGCATGAAGCTATAATTAAAACCAATCAGCCTGAGAAGTAACCTTTAAATACTTAATTACTGGATGGAATATATATTATTGCCAGTATTTCACTGAGATTAATGTCTTTAGCACACACAATATCCTACAGTGGCATGTTGGCCAGGCTCTGAACTTCAAACACAAAGTCAATTTCCTTTCATATAAGACTTTAGCAAATATATTTACTTGAAAAGATAAGGAGACTGGCAGTGGTAATAAATTACTATAACAACATACTCAGCAAGACTACGGTACATAGCCCACCAAGAGAAGCATCAGGCCCCTAAGAAGATTAATATTTAGTGAGGTGGGGTGAAAACAACCATAGGTTGTAATATGAGTAGTGGTTCCAACACAAATACCAAGTGCTGGCCAACTGTACTTTCTCAATAATAAGACAGATATCAATCATTATCTATTGTTAGTGTTAACCCATCAAGAAATATAAAGTGCTCACCTGTAAGGCCAATCAGATTTATTTTCTCAAAACTGTCAAATCTCAGCTTAATCTTTCTATCAGAAATGTTCACCAAAGTGCTCACCCTTATTTCACCCATTCAACTTGATTGCTAAACCCTTAGCTTAAAAAAAAACAACACAGAGACGAGTTATTGCCCTCAAACCCTGCTGACAACAGACTTGTTATACATGCTCAAGTACACACAATTCTTTGAAAAGTCTTGAAGTGGGACCCAGGTATTCCTCCCCGCTTGTTCCTGGCCCACCACTGATGAGAGCCATTGCACACATTACCTGCAGCTGGAGGGGATGTCCTCAGCCCGACGGTGCTGCTCGATGGAGGAGCAGTGGTTGGTTTGGTAGCAGCCAAAGTAGTTGCAATGCTCACGGTGGTCTTGGTGGTTGGAGGTGCTTCAGAAGGACTTGTAACAGGGATGTTTCCCTCAGTGACCTTACCAGGCCTTGAAGTGGTGGGACCCATGGCTTCTGTGCTTTTACCAGTGGTATAACTGTGCTTAGTGGCAGTGGGTGTCTGGGCCCTGTGGTCGTTCATGGTGCTGGCCTCACCTGGGGTGGGCTGGCGACCGGACGGGGTTGTCAGCACAGGAGGTTTCACCGTGGTCACTGTGGGGACAATGCTGCCCTGATTTGTTTCACTTGGTGAGGGACTAAGGGGTGCATCTGTTGGGCCAGCCTGTGGAGCAACACTGGCTGTGGTGAGCAGTGGTGTTGCCTTCCCAAAGCTGTCCCCTTGGGTGGTGGCATCTCTAGGCGAGGTAGTCTCTGTTACCGTCACGGGAGCAGACACAGACACGACGCGTCCACCAAGCAGCTCCATGGGTTCCGTAGGGAGAGGTGACCTGGTGGGAGTGAAGGTGGTGCTCTTCTGGGGCTGGTGTGTGACATGAGGCTTGTTGGTCTCTCTGGGTGAGCTCCTGGCTGTGGCAGCTGTGGAGGGCTCCTGCCTGACCACACTCGTAGCCACAGTGGTGCTTGCTTGATCACTCTCACTGGACTGCAAGATGGATGAGGGTGATGAAAACACAGACAAAGATGCTAATGAGTAAGATGGGGAGGGCAAGGAGGAAGTGGGCAAGGAGGACGACAAAGCCTGCAGAGAGGGTGAAGATGCCATCACAGAGGGCAAGCGTGGCTCAGGGGATTCTGACAGTGTAAACAGATGAGTTGGTGGTGGTGTTGATGACAACAAGTGCTGCAGTGATGACAGTGAGGAAGAGGCTGGAAATGCTGATGAAGACAGAGATGATCTGTCAGTGGTCAACAACTCAGAGTCAGTGTTGAATAGAGTTGTATTTTCTATGCTGCCCCTAGAAGCAGATGTCGATGGTTTGGAAGGGTGCACCAGCAACGGCTCCGTAGATGGTTCAACAAAACTGCTACTGTTTGATGCATTGGTCTGCCTGTCATGAGCCACAGACGATTGTGAGGCATCAAAAGGGCTGGAAATTTCAGAAAAAAAGGTGGAACTTTCTGAGGAGTCAGCAGAGGTGCTGCTGTTGGAGATAGACAGGAGGGTCCTTTCCCCTCCTCTGGTATACGTGGTTGAAATGTATGTGCCGTCTGTGTGAGAAACCGAGGTCCTTTTCTCAGCATCACTGCTACTGACTGGCTGATGGCTTCCTGAAAAGTCTGGAGTAAAAGGACAAAAAATATTAGAAAGACAGAGTAATGAAATGAAAGCATTTTGATGTCATATTAAAACTGCTTGCTAAATAAGATGTTCTTGCCTGTGAACCTGTCCATGATTTTCTAAGAATTTCCAGCACCATTCAAGCATGGTTATAGGATTAGGAGCCTTATTCATTCTTTAATTGATTGTAAAATGATGAACCCTGACAGACACAAGACTCTCATGAAATGTGTAGGTTTCCAAATGACTGTTCTTCACATATTGCTTTCCTAAAGTGATAGAGATCTTAACATTCCATGGTATTTGTGGCAAGCTAAGCAGGAAAACCCCACCGTTCTCTTTATCACTCATAATTTACAAAACTCATATCTTCCCCCTCTTATCCTCCATTCCCATCTACAGAATATCCATCTTGTTCAATTTGTTTTTAGACACAGTGAACTTCATGCCTCTGCAAGATGAAATTATTGCATTATGTTAATTTGCAGCTTATCATGAACCCAGTTATTCAAAACTTTGCAGCCAGGTAAGCCAAAATAAACAGCACATCAGCCTGCAAAAAATTCATATTATTTAGCACAAAAGGTGCAATCAACCTTAAAGTACCAATTTTAGGATGTACAGTTAAGTTGAGCCAACTTTAAAATAATAAAAGAATGGTAATGAATTTTTTTTTTAATTCTGTAAATGACTTAGGTCATCGTGAAACACTTCTGAAAGCATCACCCAAAAGAAACCAGTTAGGGTGCAAAAAAAAATGCAGCCATCAAAACAGGAGGGTTTATGGCTCCACTTCTGGAATGGTTTCCCATCTGTGTGGGGTCTGGTTTTGAGTCCTTTGATGGAAACATCCCCCTGAGTGAACGTACAGGTGGTATTGAATGTAGTAATTAATGAAAACCTTATGTACGACATACTAAAAAACAGATAATGTGAATTCCCCCCAAATGTACACCAAAAAAACATTAACTTACTTGTGAGATCGTTTTGGAAAGAAGAGTAAGTAGGTATCTTGGCAGAACGTACGAAGACCGTCTCCGTCGCAAAGCCTGTGAAACCCCCGCTGCTGGTGGAGGCGTTGGCTGTCCTGCCCTGCTCCAGCAATGCTGGCTCAGATGGCCCTGGAGAGCTGGAAGCTCCAGCAGGGAAAGAAGAGCTCTCCATGCCAGCTGCCAGAGTGCCATCTGTCACTGAGAGAAGCATCCTCTCCTCAGCACCCGCAGACGTGGATGAACTGTACACGGGATCGGTGATGGGGCTGGACATCCTCTTCCCAGCACTTGAGCTGCTCAGGGAGCGTTGGCTGCTGCCAATAGCTGGAAAAGGATTGAAAAGCAGGTGTCTGATTTTATCATCTCAGAGCAGACAGGCCCAAATATTGAGGAATCGGCACCACTGGAGTCATAATGGTATGTTCATGTTATTTGTAATTATCACCCCAACCCAGACAGGCAGTCGATGTGCCCTCCAGCAACAAGCTACATGTCTCAAGAATGAGACCCTTCTTGTTCAGCATCAGCAGCTGCAGATATACAACACCACAGGGCAGAACCAGGACCACTTATAAATGCCGCCCATGACACCTGCAACAGCTGTGTCATACCAATCCCACAGAGAATGCAAGGGAGAGGCAGTCAAACGCTACCCCAAAGTTCAGAAAAACTCACTGGAAGGTTCAGCAGCAGCTGAAAAGTAGGTGAAGACCTTGGATGAAAGGGTGACCTTGGGCTCTGGGGACCCTGCTTGACCAGATGACACATGTCTCATTCGAGTCCATGCCGTGGAGGACGGGACAGGGCCAGTGTGGGTGTCCCCAGCTGTGTCCAGATGAGATGTGAGGCTTTCTGCTTTTGTGCTCCACAGACTGCGGCTGCCTGGGTCTTGAGACGTCCCTTCCTTGTGGATGAAGAGTGTGGTTGAAGGTGAAGGCACTGAAACGCTGGGAGAAAACGCAGGCAGCAGCTTTGTTGGAAGCTCACTGAGTCCTGCCCCACCCTGTGAAACAGGGCTCTGTGTCCCAGGCTCTGCTGCTGGTGAGGACAGCAGGACCGTGTCCAGGGTGCTGGTGTGGGGGGGAGAGGGAGCAGAGCTCCCTGTGGCACTGGAAGCTCCATGGGTGTCCAACACAGGCACTGTGCTGCTCTCCTCACTGGTGGCAGCTGTCACCACACTGGGTGTGCTGGCGAGAGACAGGTGCCCTCCCATTGCTGAGGTCTTGTCTGCTGAGAGAGAGCAAAGCAAAATGATTTATGCACCCTAAATTATAAATAAGCAGGTGTTCTCTCTTCCATCACGAGCCTCAGGCTGAGGACACAGAGAGAACGTGGCAGAAAATCCAATCCTGCAGAAAATGCTAAGTGTGAAGGGACAGCTCTTTCCCGTGCTAAGAGGAGCTGCTGACAGCAGGGCACCCTAGAGAGGGCACTAGGAACAAGTTATGGAAGCACTGTTGGGTTTGCTACCCTCTGGCACTGCTCCCGGTGCCAGACACCCACACTGTCACCTCTGCACCCACAATGAGTGAGGGGAGGTTACACAGCACCCAAACCGCTGGTACTTGAAAGAAAGCATGGCAGGTTTGTATGGGATCAGTAAATACTGCCTTTGCACCCCCGGGTGGGAGTCAGGAATGACTGCTGCTGCTTCTGCTGGTATAAACACAGGCCAGTGGGCAGCCTTGAAATTGTGCTGTCCCTGAAAACACAGCAAATCTCGAGACTGCTCTGGCAGTAAGGCTGGCTTTTCCTGGTGCCTAAATGCAAGAAACAGATAATGTGTTTTTCTCTGGAAGTTGAAATTTTCACTTGTAACATCCAATGCCATCATCCAGCACGATCTAGCAAGCCCTCCCTCTCCATGCAGGTGGGTTTCTGATGTGTGGTCAGAGCTCACCTGGGGAAGTGCTTTCTGAAGCAGATGGTGAGCCTGTGAGCAATGGGGTCACAGATGACAGGGCAGTACCTCTGCCACCACCACCCTGGGTTCCCAAAGAAGACTGGGAATGGCCTGCAGAGCTGATGTTTTCAGTACCAGTGGTGGAAACCTCTGTTGTTTGGGCCAGGGTGGTGCTGGCTGGCAGAGACCTTAATGTCCTCCCTCCAGCCTTGGTGCCTGTTGTGGAAACGGAGGTGCTGGTGGTGGGGAAATTGGCTCTTCTCTCTGTTGACAGGATGCTGAAGGACACATGGCTGCTTCCAGTAGCTAAAATGTGATAAAGAAACAATTTACATTTTTACACATATGGAACTATAAATAAAAATGAGCTTTCTTCCAATAGCACCCAGAGGCAGCAAGTACAGTACACAAACACAAGCAGAAAATATGAGATGTCAATTTCCAAAGATGTAAATCCTTCCTACAAAAATTTGTCTTCCAAAAAACAGTGTGACGCTGACAAAAGTGCTATTATATAAAAACTGTTGAAATACTAATGCTGTGCACTTGATTTCACCATTATGTGCCTGAGTGCACTCCATGCTGCTAGAACAAATATCGTGATGAGCCAGAAAAGCCTGGAAATCAGTTCAGACAAGGCACTACCCTGAGCAGTGTGAAGGTCTTAGAGAAGAAACAGGATCAGGGGGTTCAGACCCCTGAGAACCACAGTGGGGGCTGTGACCAAACAGCAGCATGAAGGACCTCAGAGACCACACGAAAAGTTGTCTTAAATGTGTTGAGCTGGTTCAAATTCTGGGAAGCAGCATGATCCAAGAAGTAGGACAGAAGGTAAGAACTGGAGTCTGATCTCTGGGACCACAGGGACATGATCTAATCCTCACTTGCTTAGTTCTCTTGTCTGTAACATGGAGATAGCAACTGGAGACAGTAAAAATAGGACTGTGATTTGAAAGTTAATTATTTTTCTTGGCATAATGAAACTTTCCACACATGTGCCCTTTCTGTAAAAATCTAAAGCACATTTTTTTGGTCAAGAAAGAGCTGAATAATTTCAGACACAAAATCGCACTGCATCCTTTCAAAGAGTATATTCTACATAGCAGGAAAGAGTCTGGCAAGTGCAAGCTGCAGAAAGTCCTCCTTTGGCTTGTAAGAAAAATGAAATTTCAATTCTAACATGAGCTCACCTGGAGAAGGACCTTCCAAAGGAGAGCCAGAGTGTGTTAAAGGAGAGTCTGCCACCTCAGTGAAATCTCTCATTCCTGTGGACCCCTGAGCTCTGGAGGTCTCTCTCCCAGAAGATGTGGACAAGGATTGGGTTGTTCCCAAGGTCCTGTACGTGGCACTGCTGGACGTGGAGCCCTTGGCTGCTGCCCAGGAGCTGCTGCCCGAGGCAGACCTGGGTGGTCTCCCAGCACTGCTGGACGTGGCTGAAATGGGAGTGCTGGTGGCAGAGGAACTGAGGGAGGTTTTCTCTGCCATGGGTCGGTGGCTGCTTACACCTAGGACACAATAAAACCAGGTTTGATATATGCATACAGAGCTGTACATACAGCTGTGTGCTCAGCACCCATTTCTACACTGCCCATTGAGAACCTGAAGGTGTTTCTCTGGGAAGAGATGAATCTCTTCAGTACAGGCACATGTGCCTTACAAAAACCCATGAAAAATCTCAAACCCACACCCCACAGACCAGCAGTATCCCTTAGCAATGCTCTTCCCAGGACAGGAGTTTCATTAGTAATGAGGCCATCAATGTTTTTCACTTTTTTACCCAAAAGCTGAGCTCCACTCTCCCCCTTCCCACACTGCCAGCTCACTGCAGCCAGCAATAAAAACATCCATGTATCCAATAATGACTGATGACCATATCTGAAGAAAAACAGCACAGGGATGTGAAATCTCATCCAGCCCCAAGGCAGACAGCTTTCAAACTAACAAATTTACCTCGGGAAGGACCTTCAGAGGCAGAGAGGGAGCTTGTGAGCAAAGCACCCCCGGGAGGGCCTGGGAGACCAGTGGCTTCCCGTGAGCTGTTGGGATGATGTGTCCCAGTCCTCAAGGAATAGGAGGTCCCACCCAAAGAGCTTGTGGGGTTGCTGCTGGTGGCAGAGTCCCTTGTCACCCCAGCTGTGTGGCCATTTTCTGGGGACATCAGTGTCCCCACTGCCATGCTGGACACGTCAGCAGCCTGGATGTCCAAGCGCAGCGTCGCCTCTTCTGCACCTGGGATGCTCTTGGGGGGTTCATAATCGCTGCTAAAAGCTGAAAAATGAGAAGAGAAAGACAAAACTGCATAAATATAAATAAAAACTGCTGGGTAGGTTTCATCCCACTGTCAGTAGATGTAGACAATGTATGTGTGAATATTCAATACGGAAATACTTAATACTGGGAAATCATTAAGACAGGGGAAAAGTGGTCTCTAAATAGGAACTGCTGAAGTTATGGCTTGCAAAATTCAACTGGAAGTTTTCAAGGAAAATCTATCCTCCCCTTCCAACAAGAATAATATTTATCCATACTTTCATTTCTGTGAAATGTTTTTAAATGTACAGAATGTGCCAAATACAATATTATTCCTCCTTTCTTTAAAATAAAAAGGATATATTTTGTTAATAAAGAGTCTTTAAATAAGAGTTTTGAGCTATCTATCAAAACTCACTTGTGGAAGAAGTTCCTGAAACGGGCAGCAAGCCTGAGAGCAACGGGTCTGTGACACCTCTGCCTCCATCACCCTGGGCACCCACAGACACCCCAGGGCTCTGGCTCTGGGCTGAAGAGCTGGTGATTTCAGTCCCAAAGGTGGAAATCTCTGCCATGGTGACCAGCCTGGTGCTGGCTGGCAGAGACCTTAATGTCCTCCCTCCGCCCTTGGCAGCTGCTGTGGAAATGGAGGTGCCGGTGGTGGGGAAATCCGAACCGAACCTCTCCGTAGCTGAGTTCTTGGATGGTTGGTAGCTGCTTCCAACGCCTACAGTACAATAAAAAAATGGATTTATACACATGAAATTATAAACAGATGGATCCATTTTCTTCCCAGATGCTGACGGCGCACATACAGATACTGAGCATAGGAAGTTTTCAATCTGGACAAAGTGCTCTTTTGGAAAGGCAGGACTCCCCTCACCGCAGGAAGACCTCGCACAAAACCCAGGGCTTGCTGCCAGGCTTTGTGAGGGTGGCACGGCCCAGACAGCAGGAAACCCCACAGGACAAGGACTCCAGGGATTTGCCTTTAAATCCCACCTTTGCTCTAATATTGCTGAAAATAGGCTCAGGCTTTTTTTTTCTTTTCTTTTTATTTTTTTGGGGCTTAAGCACAGCATCAGACAGCAAAGGGAGGAAACCCAAGCGCAGCCACATTCCCAAATCAGCCTGCAGCTCACTACACATCCCAGGGCTCAGCGGGGCACTGTCCTTCAGACACTGGATCTCAGGTTTCCTGCAGCCCCAGTGGTGCTCCCAACAGCTGTGACAGAGGACAGGGATGTGTCAGTGTGAGAACCCAGGAGATCTGTTTGCTCCTGAAAAGCCCTGGCACAGGATAAGGATTCAGCAACACTGAGGTTTTCAGCGTTTGTGTGGAGCTGGGCAAAGTCTCTGCTTTTGGGAACTCCAGAAATTGGCTGCTGCAGAGCAAGCAAGGGGAAGCCATGGAGCGCAGGGATCTCAGGTTTGCTGCCCTGAGCAAGTTGTTAAGCACAGGCATCTCACCCTGTCTAGCTGAAGGCAAACCCACCCCGTGTGGCCACAAGTGTGGGATCCCGAGCTCCCAGCCCACCCTGTCACCACTTGGGCACAGGTCAGACAGGGCTCAGAGCTGACCTTGCTCTGCAGCTGGCACTGGTCCAGTGAAGATATTTCACAGCTGCAGGCATCCACCCTGCAGAAAACACTGTGATAACATCCAAAGAACTTTATTTTTTTTTTTAAGTGGAAAATGCTGGGGGGGTTGGATCAAATTATTTTTTTCCATTGCTTTTTCCTGCTTTCAGCAGGGAATTTCAGCTAACCATCCAAATAATAAAAAACAGAGCACATGCAAAACAGAGCATCTCCTCTGCTTCAAGAAAGCAAATAGTATAAAATGGCTTTTCAAAACAATGAAACAAAGAGCAGCGAAGCTCACCTCCGAAGGCGTTGTCCGTGGGAGGTGATGCAGTCAGCAAAGGGCTGGTGAAGTTCCCCACAACACCCCTGGGGTGTAGCGTGATGTTCTCTGCACCAGCCTGGGTACTTGAAGCTTGGGAGGAGGCCTGGGGCTGTCCCAGGGAGCCAGGGAGGGCAGTGCTGGGGCTGCTCCCCGAGGGGCTGGCTGGAGCAGCTGCAGCGCCCACGGCAGGGCTGCTGCCCAGCTCTGTGCCCACCCAGCTGCTCACAGGTTGAGAGAGGCTGTCAGTGCCTGCAAGGCAACGGGGAAAAGCAGATGAGGACCCAGAGATGGGCTCAGCTGCCTGCTGAGCCATTCCACACTGCCACCCTTCCCTTGCCCCTCAGTCCCCTGTCTGCACTGCGCCTACAGGAACTTTGTGTCTGGAAGCTGCACCAAGTAGTTCATAATTTTGAGTGCTAGGAGGAGCCACATGGATTCTTCTCTCCATCCTTGTGCATAAAGCAAGCCAGTAAACTGCCCTGAGTGCATGGTGAGGATGGAGAGCTCTAAGCTCTACAATACAGGAGAACAAGGCTTAACCAATGCTGGCTGCTCTGGAGAACAGCATTCACCTTGTTCCCAGGTGCTGGAACACTTTCCCAATGTTCCTGGGCTGAACTGGGATGGCTCACCTGGGTGATGAGGTTCTGAAGACGAAGGTAGCAGCACTGTCCTCACAGTGTTAAGCCCTGACTCGTTCCAGACCCTGTGGTGCCCTCCCCATGTCCCCTCAGGGGAATCGCTGCTGACGGCTTCCGAGCCCGGCGGCGTTCCCTCGGCAGCTGCAGGGATGCTGGCAAAAGCCACAGCCCTCGTGCCTCTCCCCAGCCTGCCTGCAGCAGGGTGATGGCTTCCAGGGTCTGGAAAGCAACAGGGAGAGGGTCACGTTCACCTGGAAAAGTTCTCTTGTCTCAGCTGGGTGGCAGCAGCATCACCTGCAGTGGTACCCAGCCCTACCGCACGCAACAGGAAGGGTCACAGCTGCATCCCTCATGTTTCCTCTGTTTAATAGAGCACAGTTTAACTGCAGGAGGGATTGATGGGAACAGAGGGTTTCTGTCGCCAAAAAATAATGGCATTTTAAATAATGTCTTCATTTGAGCATGGCAAAAGAAATAGATTTTTTTTTAGAGACATTAAAAACGCAGAAGGCAGTAAGGATCTGGTGCCAGAACAGCCCACAGCTGGCAGCCTGGGCATGCCAGCTCCACATTCTAGTCCCTAAGCAGAGAACAAAAACAAGGAATCAAAAAAATTAAAGACAGACTCTATGCTTATATCTTATTTCAATTGGGGATATTAAGAAAAAAAACTGAGGTGGGGACAGGGCAATCAGCACAGCTTTGTCTTGCTGCTGTGAGAAACAGGCCTTGATTTAAGTTCATGTTTGAAAGAGTACATTGGTTTACTTATGACTGAAGATTATGAACAAGCCCAAAAATAAGTGTTCACTTTCAGGACTTCCATGTAAGGACCTCAGCCACAAATCATCATCACAGCTGGTCAGGTATCCTTAAGCTGAGTTCTTACAACCTAGGCTGGGCTTGCAATGGGGTTCAGTTCCTGATGGGAGAAGTTGTGGGGATGCCCAGGGTTCTCCACTCCTTGCACAGCCCCTGAGCTCAGTGGATGGGCAGGACTCCCTGGGTACTGCTGAGTGGTGAAAAACAGCGGCAGCTCCTGAGAATCATCTGTGTTGTAATGCTAAAAAACAAAGCCCATCTTTCCTGAGATTGAATTTCTCTCAAAAATCTGCATTTCTAGCTGTGGGGCAGCAATGCTTCCTAACCCACTGGCTATGCTCAGTCCATGGGCTGGGAACAGCTCACAGGAACTCCCACATCCATAAAACTCACCGGGAGGATGGCTGTGGCTGAGCACGTGGGTCACTGTCCCAGCAGATGGGTTCTCTGGGGTTCCTGCTCCTGGAGGGGTGACATCCCCATCACTGGCAGGGGGGGCAGGGTGCCCTGTGGCCCTGCTTGCTGCTGGCACTGCCCCGTGCCTGACAGGCAGCAATGCCCACTCCCTGCTCCCAGCCAGCATCATCACCAACTCCACAGGAGCACCAGGAGTCCTCATCTCTGTGCTTGAACTTCTCTCCTGATGGCTGCTTTCAATGACTAAAAGAAAAGACAAGAAAAAAATTTAGATTCCATCAGCACTGATGTGCAGGCTCAGCTCACTGCAGTAACACCAAGGCCAGGCTCTGAGCTCATTTACTTACACTAGAGAAAAATTTTGCATAATCAAAACACAGACATGAAATTTATTTTTGGATTTGCACCAGTGGAAACTAGATTGGTCTGTGGGACCAAATACCAAAACCCACCTCCGTGCAAAAGACTAATTCAATTCAGTACACTCAGGATTTTTTTTATGTTAGGAGAAATAAATTTTGAAAGGAGAAAAAAGAAAGTCTTAAATAACTGGAAGTACTCGTGGTGTAGGTTCCATGGCAAGAGTGTGAAGGTCTCCAGAGCTGACAGCCCAGCACAGCCCATGTGCCCCATTCTGAAATAAGATGGGAGGGGAGAGGCCCCACAGCTCTTCCCCTCTCTCCACTTGGCCAGTGCTTGCTGGACACCTGACCTCAAATCCCATCGCCTGCAGAGAGCTGGCATGGAGCTGGCTGAGAGCTGCAGGGCACTCAGGACAGTCAGTATAACCCAGCCAGCCACAGTGCAGCACTGGGGACAGAGGAGATCAGTGCATGGTGTGGATTACATGGCCCGCCCAGGTGCCAAAGCACCCCAAGTGATGAGATATTTTAGCACTTCTAACATTAATGTCTACCAGAACATGAGAAACAAGATGAAGAAGAAGATTGTGCGTGAGTGGTGGTCTGGGAAATCCAGGTTTTCAGCTTATGGTACCTGTGAGGATTTCACTGCATATCAGTTCACACAAAAAACATCAGCCACCATCTGTGTTACAGTCCCAAGGCTTGGCTGGCACTGCAGCCTCAGATGACCTTCAAAGCCCACAACAAGCTTTGAAGTCAAAAGCAAGTCCAAACCTGAAAGGGTAAGGTCCTCATTTTGTCCATCCTCCTTACAACAAAAGTCACTGTCATGTGCATGGCATCCACAGGCAGCAGATAAAGGCAGGCAGTCAGTCAGCCCAGAAACTCTGATTTTGAAGGTTAAACCTGTGCTGTCATGTGCACGGCATCCACAGGCAGCAGATAAATGCAGGCAGTCAGTCAGCCAGCCCAGAAACTCTGATTTTGAAGGTTAAACCTGTTCTGGGCTTCAAAATACTTTCTGTAAGAAAACTGTGTGTCCAAGACAAACACCTATGGGACACCTCCTCCTTATCTTGCATGTCTTCCTTGGAGTTGCTGTATCCCAACAGAGGCAATTTCAGAAGTGGTGTCCTCTGTACATCTGCAATACCTTCAGTGGGAACTCACCAAGAAACAGAAGGGTAGGTAGGACAGTCTGTATTTCATCCTGGGAGTCTAAGCACCATGTGGGCCAAGCAGAAAAGAGCTGTGGTGGAGCAGAGCCCCCGGGGTACCATTACTGGCAGCCCTCACAGTGGCTGCGATGCTGAGCAGCCACTGCCACCCAGAGCCCACTGCGAGCCACCGCCTGTCTCGTGGGACAAGCTTGTGGTCCTCACCAGCTGGACAAGGGGATGGGAAGTGGCAGGGGATGCTTGCTGTGTTCATTTGCAAGCCAATACCCAGCCTGTAATTGTAGTCCACAAGTCCATTTATAGCAGCCCCAAAAAATGTGGCTGTGCTGGAGGGCAGTGCACTGAATTTCTGTCCATCCCCCTCTCACTAAAAGCTTTCAGCTGTGCAGCCCATGCTGACTGGAAAGCCTGTGGCCAGCTTTGCTGCACAGGGAGAAGGCAAAGCAGCTGATGCTTAAAGAAACCCTTAGGGCATGAGGATAGACAGAGGGAAATCTGCTTTCCCAGGTTGCCAACTCATTTGTCAACAAGGGCTCTGGACAGGCAGGCTAAAATATACAGCATCACACTGCAGCAGGCATTTCATTGCCACTTCTTAAAAAGCAACCCTGGAAATGCCAGCAAGCAATGCCTTCAGCTATGTTCCTTGATTGAATGAGACCAGTTCAAAAGTAAAACAGTGATGTTTGCTTATCTGGTGGTTGTTTGCCCTGCAAATCCACCTCAGAGTGCGCTCTATCTTCTGGCTCTGCAGTGATGCTGGGAATAAACTGAAGCAAAACCCTTCCCCTTATTGTGGGCGCCAGCAAACCTTGCTTTGAGTGCAGCCGGGCAGTGGAGGGGTTGAATAAGAAGGTATTATTTACACAGGCTTTTAGAGTCATCTGGCATTTTTAACTCTGCCCTGCAAGGTATACCAGGTCCAGAAAGGAAAACCTCATACTAGCACAGGCTCAGCTCCCCAGATCAGTGGGTGCAGAGCATAAGCTAAGCTGGAAAATTCAACCCACAGCATGTAGTAAGGAAACCCCCCAAAAAAACTGTGTTGTTCAACAAAATAGACATGAAATCTCACATCCATCAAGCCTACCAGAAGTGCAAGATAAAACCACAATATTCTCTTTCATTTGCCTGCAGAAATTAAGACTTCAAAGACGACCCTCCTCTGGAGCGGACAGACAAGATCAAACTTCTTCCAAAAAATTCCCCACGGGACCATCTGGCCTCCCCGATGCATTAAAGGCTTAAGGCAGAGTGGCCCTTTAGCTGAGGTACTGATCTGTCACTAACAATTTCGTCACATCCTAAGCTGCCAACAGCTTTGCACGGTTTAACTTCACATAACCACAGCTACTGAGAAATATTTGACTTCCAGCACAAAACCCTGCCACCCACTGGACTGGTGTTTTCCTTCCCAGTGAAAACTAGCAGTGATGCTCACCAGACGGTCGAGGCTCAGAGTTACTTTTTCTTTGCAAGCATAACAAGTCCGTGGCTTGCTGTGAGCCGAGTTACACAGCTCAGCCAGGACAAACAGATCAAGTTCCAGCTGATTTCTCAAGGCTTTGGGCTTGCCCCTGGCAGCCCAGTTGGAGATCTACCTTGTGAGACTCCTGAAAAATCTCTTTTGGGCCAACAATTTTCTGTCTCCATCTGTGACACAGCACAGGCATTGCTCTGTCTCAGAGATGGCTGCTACCAAGACAGCGTTTAGGTGATGCTCACAACTCAATCATGGGTCAGCACAACACCAAAAAGCACAATGATGCAAGTTTTCTGCAGTGACTGTCATCGCACACAGACACCTCAGGGCAGGGGGGGAGGAGGGATGTATCCTGCTGATGCCAGGAGAGCAGCATCCCCACAGGCAGCGTTTGTCACGAGATTGCAGCCAGCCAAGGCACGCCGCAAGCTATCCCAGCCCCACTGCTTCCCTGAAGATAGGATTTTTCCCCGCGAGGGCAAGAAAAATACTTTCTTGACTGTGGAACACAAATTTAACCTGAGCTCGCACAGAAGGAAAGCGAAGTGCAGTTGATCGGCTGTCCAGAGCAGCCCTTCGCCCGGAGCAATCCCTGTCGGGAGGGTGGGCATTCCCTGGGGAGCATTCCCGCCAGGATGGGAACGGAGCCGCCCATGCAGCGGCTGTTTGGCCAGGCCACCCCGGGAGCATCCCGTGCCGAGAGGAGCGCCCGTGGAGCCGCAGCAGGCTCCTCCCGAGGACAGGCAGCTATAATTATAAACCCCACATCTGTTAACGTTGCATAATCCTAACATCATCCGAGGCTCGCGGAGGGGAGAAAAAACTCATCTCGACTCAGAAAACTCCTGGCTGGCTGTAGGAAGAGGCTGGGAAGAAAGGCGGGCTGCGCGGCAGAAGCAGCGGAGGCGGCTCCGCTCCCTGCCGGGGCCGCGCTCCGCGCTCCCGGCTCTGTTTTGAGCGGCTGCTGCGGATGTCGGGATCATGGGTGGAGGCCGGTTAGGAGCCAAGCGAGTTTGTGCGAACAAAAGCTACAGCCCTAAATCTGGACCGTCCAGGGCTCTCTGGGATTTTCGATTTCCTTCCTTGTTCTTGCTCTGAAAGGAGAAGTTCAAGGCGGGGGGAGCAGCGGGGGCTGAAATGGAGCTTTAAAAAATTTCATACTTGAGATGGGTCAATTGAGAGTAAACACGCTGATAATACTGCTTGGGGAAGGTCCCTCGTGTGCACTAAGTGCGGGAAAAATGCAAGAGGTTTTTAACTACATGCAGTCAACCCTGTTCTGCTAAATTTTTTTATATCAATACAAGGATTTATTCAGTCTGGATTAAGAAAGGTGGCAAGAGAGGGTGTATGGGGAAAAGCAGAAGAGGTGCAGAAGCCTTGCCAGAGCCTCTCACCCTTTTGTGGGGTTGGTTTGGATGCAGTACCCTACAGACACATTCCCTGGCTCTGGTGCTTCTGCTCCTCGTCCTCTCCCCACTGGCCCCCAGGCAGCAATTCACAGGACCTTCAGTAGTTTTACCCATAATAGGAAGGATTTATGCAGGCAGCAAAGGTACCTAGAGCTTTAATATGTCAGCTCAAGAAAAGTGATGGGGGTTTAATGGAGCAGCAGCCCCTGCAAGCTCTGAGTGCCAAGGTCCACACGGCTAATGCCCACCTGGCCACTTCCAGCCATGGGTGCCCATGGGGCTGGGGACATCTCATCATCCTCAGACACTCCAGTGCCACCCCACAGCACCCTGCTTGCAGTTCTGCTTTATGACACAAAAACACGCTGCACTTCCACACCCCCTCCCCTCCAGGACCTGTAAAACCTCAGAGGATGCTAAAGGCCATTTTTGCTTCCTCCACCTTTTTTCGCCATCCCAGAGCCTGATGCTCAGAGATGCAATTAGGGAAAAAAAAAATAAATTAAAATAATTTATTACATTAAAAATAAAATAAATTAAATTAATGCTCTTAAAAGCAGTACCCTAAAGCAAGGAAACAGGTTCTCCAAAATAAAGAGTACACAGACATCTGTGATCCTTTCCAAAAGCACAGGATATATGCATATGGAGTGCCCACAACTGGGATAAAACCTGCACAGTGCAGGGACAGGATATTGTTCTGCTTATCAAGAGGTTTACAGCCTCTTAGTTTTGGTGTCCTAAACATTTCCCTGGGGAGGTGCAGACTCCCACATCACCTGCTCAAGCCCATGAAATCCTAAGC